TAATTAGGCTTGAAAAAAAAATCAGGCCGAATTTTTTGCGTTCGACAAGTTTACTTTGCTAAATCTTGCCAACAAATCTGGGTGCGTGTAAACCAACCTTTTATACCATTTATTCATCACATCTGAGGTGAAACAGTGCTATTAGGCACTGTTTTTATCATACAGTCCTTGAACAGAAAGCAGTATTTCACAGTTTTGCAATACAAATTGCACTCATTCAATATTAACGGGCGTCGATAAAACCCGGAACACGGAACATTCCGGAACATGCCGGAACATGAAAAAATAAAAATAATTTTCGTGAAAAAAATATAATAATAATAATAATAATAATTTTTTTAAAAAGACTATTAATAACGTAAAATAACAAAAAACCGAAAAAGAAACAAGTAAAGAAAAAGAAACTTGTATCATCTCCGGGCATGAGAAAAAAATATTTTGTCGCAAATAATTTGTGGGGCGAGGGTCCATGCAAATGACAGTAATGAGTGGAGGTTTGCTTCTAAATTCAAAATATGTTAAAATAAATCTCGAGGACCCCTTGTAATTATTTGCCATGCGGTTTAACGGTTATCCATTTACGGCTTTGCGACCGTGATAAGAGCTTAGGGGCTTGTCGCTTTCGACTTTAGTAGATAAGATTCACATTTGCCGTGAATCAGTTGCAGTGGCAGTGGTAGCGCAGCGGTAGCTTCTAACTGTTATTAGTTAGCCTGAATTGTATCCGTCTCCCGGCGAGTCGTAAGTGAAGTTCGTGACTCGAGGAGATGGCTGAAATTCAAGCTAGATCACAGCCCCCTATTTTCCACCTATCATGTAAACGTGATCAAATTAAAATGAGGGGATTATGTGGACAGGCGGGTTACCCACCAAAGCGGGTTACCTCACCTACCTGGGGTCCCTCATCTCCATGTAAACAGGCCCTTAGACTTCTCGTTTTTTTGTTCTTAATATTTTAGCTGATTAGATCTCTTTTCTAGAGATCCAACGTTGACAAGCAACAGGATCTTCATCCACGGTTTTTGCAGTAAATTTCTTTGAGAAAAATAAAGTATGAAAAACCTTTTAAGGCTTACAAGTTTTTTTTTTATTTTGTCCCTTTACAAGCAATTTATTTGTAAACGTCAAGTTACACAGTGCATAAGGAAATGTACCGAAACTTATTAAATTTTTTCTCCAAAAATGCGGCGCTTAAAACCATAGTAATACCTCTCAGTACGGTATTTACGCGAGAAGGCGCCGCGGCGCTTATAAACCCCATGCGGCGCTTATTTGAGTAATTACGGTAATTTGCAGCTTAAGAGTTTATTACATTTAGGACAAAATGTTATTACATTTAGGGTCGTTTATTACATTTAGGCCTTCTACACCTGTAAGACAGCTCGTTTCCTTTCTATTCACCTTTTACCCGGACACGTAACAAACGAGTGTAGCTAAATGTCGTGGGTCGTGGGTCGTGGGTCTTGGGTGTGGGTCGTGGATGTGGGTGTGGGTAAATGTCGTGGGTAAAAAAAAAAAGTCTTGCAAAAAGAAATAAAAATTAAAAAATTAAATAGCAAAAAGTTGTAAAATTCATAAAAAGAAAATCTCCGAGTACATACCAGTCCTTTTCCCCCTTCCCCGCGGTCAGCAAAGCAAATAACCGAATCCTCTAGTACAAACGGACACTAAAAAGACATTTAGGTGAAAAATGAAAGAAACTCTGTGCACTATGCAGGGGCACCCAACGGCAATTTTCGGGAAAATATCTGTTCGGAAGACGATTTTAGATCTAGAATTTTGAACATCTATAGAAAAGGCTACCTAGAATTTTCGGGAGCCTTTTCCTGGCTGAAATTTTCGAGAAGGTAAGTTTTTATCCCTATAATTTTCGGATCACTAGACTTTCAGCTAGGAAATCCGAACAGATGAAAAGTTTTTAGGGGATAAAAATATGCCTTTATCTACCGTTTAAATACTAAAATACGTTCAACAATGCTATGTTAAGTGGTTTTGAACTATATCCTCGTTGGGTGCCCCTGACTATGTAAACCTGAAGCAGGCTATACAAAAACTGGAGACTGATATTTCGAATCGTTACAGTAAAGAGTTTGTACACAAAACAAAACAAAAAGTAATCGAGAAAATTGTATTTCCGTACGGCAATAAAATTTACACACAGTCTAGCCTTAAAGGGGCTGTGTCACGGCAGTCCAGTTCATTTTGTTTAATTTTGCTAATTACTAGCCCTCAATCGCTATGGAACTTAAAGCAAGCAAAGAATTCGAAACACACGTAAATGACAAAATCAGAGATCTGAGACAAACAAATATGTCTCCTGAGCATTATTTTTGAAGCTGCAAGCGGCAGGGATCAACTTTGAAAAACTGTTAGGCTGAACAGTTTTCTAAAACCTTGTTTCAGTCCGTTTCAGTCTTCTTCAGTTTTGCCCATCCGTGGCATCTGTTGTTTCTGTTATGTTATTTTAACCTTCCTTTGAAGTTCTAAGCGGTTATTTTTATCTTTCTCTTAATCTATCGGGAATTTTGTAATTTCCTAATCTGGGTGAATTTCAACTTGAATTTTTAACTTGAAAGGTTGGGAATGAAGGTGGTTCCTTCATAAGGTAAGAGACCTAAAACGTCTATCCAAAAATATAAAATACCTAAAAATTGTCCTTTTCTCTTCCCTTTCACACGGTGATCGCATTCCATCATGTTAAAAAATTAGGTATGGATAAATCTTCATCGGCAAAATGTCTTTTATACAGTGAGGTTGTGAAAGAGGAGCCAAGTCCCACAGGAAGAGGACGAAGAAGCCGTGACGATCAAGGAGTTGGAGATATTCGTTTCACAAATATTTTACAACTTTTTTCTATTTATTTCTTTTTTTCAATTACTTTACTTTATCACTTTTTTTCTATACTTTTTTTACCCACGACATTTACCCACACCCACACCTACACCCACACCCACGACCCACCACCTCTATCCACGACCCACGACCCACGACATTTAGCTACACTCGTAACAAACGGATACTGTAATATTTAGTGAATATTACTGGAAAATAGTGCTTTCAAAAATAACAAGTCGCATAATAATAATAATAATAATAATAATAATAACAAACACTTATATAGCGCGGTATCCACTAATTGCTCAAAGCGCTATACAATAATATGGTAAGAAACTAGAGTTAAAGACTATTATAAGATAAAATAAAAATTAAATAAAGCTACTAAAATCAAACATCATAGGCTAATTTAAATAAGTATGTCTTCAACTACGTCCTGAACTGGTGGACAGATGTAACACCCCTGAGTTCAAAGGGCAATTGGTTCCATAACCTAGGAGCAGCTGCGGAAAAAGCCCTATCACGATACGTCTTTAACTTAGTCCAAGGCAGGGCTAGAAAATTCTGGGAACTAGAACGAAGTAATCGTGGACCATTAGTGTAGCGTAAAAGTTCGGATAGGTAAGTTGATGCCAAGCCATTTAGACATTTGTAAACTAAGAGTAAAATTTTAAAATCTATGCGATAACCCAGCGGCAACCAATGAACAGGGGCACCCAACGAGGATATAGTTCAAAACCACTTAACATAGCATTGTTGAACGTATTTTAGTATTTAAACGGTAGATAAAGGCATATTTTTATCCCCTAAAAACTTTTCATCTGTTCGGATTTCCTAGCTGAAAGTCTAGTGATCCGAAAATTATAGGGATAAAAACTTACCTTCTCGAAAATTTCAGCCAGGAAAAGGCTCCCGAAAATTCTAGGTAGCCTTTTCTAGGGTCAAAATCCGTTAAAAATGGGTAATCATGCCATTTTGTAGATGTTCGAAAATCCTAGGAGAGGCAGGCAAGCAAGACATTTTACAACAAATGCTCCGAAAATTCTAGATCTAAAATCGTCTTCCGAACAGATATTTTCCCGAAAATTGCCGTTGGGTGCCCCTGAATGAAGTTTGAACAGGATAGGAGTGACATGGTCAAACCGCTTAGATAATGTAACAATGCATGCAGCAGTGTTTTGTATTAGTCTTAACCTGTTTAACAGGTGTTTAGGAAGTCCATATAACAAAGAGTTACAGTTATCGAGTTTAGAGCTAATAAGCAAATGTACTAAAATTTGAGAGGTATCTTCACTTAAGTACTTCCCGATCTTAGCTATGTTCCTTAAATGATACTGACAGGAAACGCAGATAAGCAAACCTTTAAGTGTCTTCGATAAATTGGGCTTGGGCTCGAAATATAGGGGGAGGGGGGAACAGCGTTTCAGCACACAGAGTGGAAAAAAATGGAACGTCACAGGGGATGCCCAAATTAAATCACAGCGGCGATCGCCATCTTCATCTAGGCGTGAAAAAAGAGGGGACTGTAAACTAGCTTGAATGTCAGCCGTCTCCACGAGTCGCAAACTCCTCTTGCGACTCGAGTAGATGTCTGAAATATCAGGCTGACTGTAAACAGTATAGAAACTACTACGAATGTGAGTATTGTCAACTAAAATCGAAAGACAAGAGCCCCTTAGCTATTCTTAACTTCGATTCACAGAGCCTATTCTGTAAGTAATTCATGTCAACCTCAAGAAAGCAAAGCACTTCAAGTAAGCGCATGTCGGTTATATATAACTATTTGTTGGCTTGACATGAGTTACTTAATTAGGGGCCAGTCATAATTTACGTTCCAAATTATTTCCAGACCCCCACTCAATAGCACCCATGTTCTTAGGTACCCCCCCTTTCTTACATAATACCCAAATGGTAATAACAAATAACATTTTCTTTACTTTACCGTTCTTACTCACTGTCACTTCCGAATGTGCCAACTACATAATCGTCATCTGAGAGTGATTCGTCATCTTGCTGGTCAGCATAGGACATGGAGTCTGCCATTTCCAACTGTTTCTCTTTTATAGAATTAAGCTCATTATTTCGCAGTACATGGCAACTGATGGTTTTTATTTTGTCACTTTTTTTTACCATAGTTGCCAAGTCTATGGGCAGTTAGATATTTCTCAAGTTCTTTGACAGTTAGTTGTTGCAATTCCTTTTAGAGACATGTCTAGCCAGTCATACTCATTGTATCTTTTTAGGTCTCGTTTGCTTTTGTCGGTTTGACTCTGAGTCGACCTGATGGATTCTTTGAGTCTCAGTGTTGTCAGGTGCTCCAGATATGAACGCACGTATTTTTCATCAACAGCGAACTTTGTTGCATATTCTTTAATGGCATCTGTATCATTGAGGGTTATTTCTGATGAATTAAATAAGCGTTTCAACTGAGCCCTTGGCTGCCAGTCATCAGGATCTCTGCGGCTACCATCATCATTTCTCACTGGCGTACAAAACACGCTCTTATAGTGTGGAGGGTTCTTGGGGTCAGGTATGGGTTGAGGTATTCGCTCACTCTCTGGTCCTACCCATGGATGGCTTTCACAGAAGTCGCAAAGACGACCATCTGAATGTTCACTGCATACCCTCTTGAGAAACTCCATATAGAGCTCACCCACATTGTAATGTGATTCAATAAATGCCGATGAAATTGTTTCAGTGTTACACAATAATGGATGTTGTGTTGATGCACCTACTATTTGAGCATTAAATCTTTTTGTCAAAATGCTGATTAAATTGTTTTCGTATTACACAATATAGGACTTTGTGTAAAACTGAATCAAAATCAGGTCCTTTAATACTCAAGCATCATGCTGCTCAGAAGGGATGCTACTTAAAAGAAACTTGAAGACCCCCCCAAGGTCATCTTTTGGCATTTTAAGGCCCCCCATATTCCATCCAAAAAAAATTGAAGGCCCCCCAATTTCTCCTCCCCCCCCCCCCCTCCAGCTTAAATTATGACTGGTCCCTTACCGACTTGGCTTGACATGACATACTGCACCGACATTACAGACCATCGCTGAGCCGTAAATAGTTAACCGCCAAATGATTAACTCAAAGGCAAACAATTACAAGAGGTAGCTGGGTGAGTACAGCTTGAAAAACCCCCTCCTCGAGTGCCATTTTAATAAATTTGAGTTTAGAAGCAAGCCTTCACTCATTACTGTCATTTGCATGGACCCTCACTCGTCCAACAATCTATTTGCGACAAAATATTGTTTTGTCATACTCGGAGATGATAGCAGTTTCTTTTTCTTAATCATTTCTTTATTTTTCGTTTTTTTTTGTTATTTTATGTCATTTTGTTATTATTAATTTTTACAAAAACTATGTTATTATTATCATTTTATTTAATTATTATTTTTTCATGAAAATTACTTTTATTTTTTCATGTTCCGGCATGTTCCGGAATGTTCCGTGTTCCTGGTCAGTTTTATCGACGCCCAATATTAAGGAAGATGGAAGTACGCGTGGGCTTTTAGCTACATCGTTAAAAGAACTTCCGAAATCACCTATACGGCCATCCGGTTCTCACTTTTGTAGTGCGAGCTGTGGCGAGTGTTGGTTTGAATGAACATTAACAGAGTTACGCCCCAACATAATAAATAAATTATTATGTTTATAACGCGCGGAGTTTTGAGTACTCCTGCAAGCGATGTTCACTGAACGACTGAAAACAATCGGCACAGCCATTAAAATTACAAGAGAGACTACTAACAATCAATAAAAGAAATATAATTCGGTGAAACATATACAAAGACAACAATTTTCATTCAGGAACACAAGTATTAAAGTGTCTCTAAAAATCCTAGTCTTCAAGCTTAAAGCCTAAGTTTATGTTTTAAGCCGGCTTCCCAGTGTTTGCTTTTTTCAAAGACGAACTCCAGGCAAGAAAATCGCTCCAAGCTTTCTTTTACAGCCAGAATTATAACTAAATATTCTTTGGAACGTTTTCTTTCTATTTGCGGTGAGAAACTGTCTAAAGGCTTTTTAAAGTTCTGCAAGTTTATATCAAACCTATACTCCGTCAGATCATTGTCTCAAATCTTACAAACGTGCATAAACTAAATACCCGCATAAACTACGCTCGACTTCATTAAATTAGATACGAAAAACAAACATCAAATACAATAATTACTCTGGCTTACCATTCGAGACGCAGCTCCTGAAAGGTATCGAACAAGGCCAGTATCGCTTCAGACTTTGCAACCCTCTTACATATCAAGCAAGGTGAAAACGAAAACGATGCCATCCGAAATCTGATTTCCGACTTTGACAAGCGACGTATTTCTCAACCAAAAACCCAATAAACAAACTTGCCATGAATAGCAGATACCAGCTGAATTTCATTTTGTACATCCGGTGGAAAGAGACAGTTAAAAACATCATAAGTTGACACAAAACTCTGTCAGCTTCAGCTGTCAAAGTAAACAAGATTCAAGATGCTGCATAAATTTTCCGCATGAACTCAACTGTCAAATTTTGACCAATCAGAGCATAAAAATTGAACGTAGAGCGTGACCAACGCGTGACCATGATAAGAAAAGTCAAAGGCAACTGTCTTCCCTGCCTGTAATAGCTGGCTAAATTTTCGCGTCCGAGGTCAGTTTGAAATCAAAATTTTAATTGTGCGACACATAAACACAATATATTTCATCTGCATTTAACACAAAAAATAAATTTGAGCCTGCGATCACTTGAAAAGGTAGGTACTTTAAGTAGGGTTATTAAAGTGTATCAAGAAATGTATCAAATAGCCATGTATACCTATGTATAGCCATGTATACCCATGAAATACCATGTATTGCCATGTATACCCATGTATAGCCATGTATACCTATGTAATGCCATGTATTCCCATGTATTACCATGTATAGCCATGTATTGCCATGTATACCCATTAACACCCATGCATACTTATGTAACGCCATATATTACCATGTATAGCCATGTATAGCCATGTAATGCCATGTAATGCCATGTATAGCCATGTATTACCATGTGTAGCCATCTATTGCCATGTATTACCATGTATTGCCATATATTACCACGTATAGCCATGTATAGCCATGTAATGCCATGTATAGCCATGTATTACCATGTATAGCCATGTATACCCATGTATAGCCATGTATTGCCATGTATAGCCATGTATACATATGTAATGCCATATATTGCCGTGTATTACCATGCATAGCCATGTATTGCCATGTATTACCATGTATCGCCATGTATCACCATGTATAGCCATGTATTATCATGTATCGCCATGTATCACCATGTATAGCCATGTATACCCATGTATTGCCATGTATAGCCATGTATACTTATGTAATGCCATATATTGCCATGTATTGCTATGTATTACCATGCATAGCCATGTATACCCATGTATACCCATGTAATGCCATGTATTGCCATGTATTACTATGTATAGCCATGTATCACCATCTATAGCCATGTATAGCCATATATACCCATGTAATGCCATGTATTGCCATGTATTACCATGTATTACCATGTATATCCATGTAATACCATGTATTGCCATGTATTACCATGTATACCCATGTATAGCCATGTAATGCAATGTATAGCCATGTATAGTTATGTATTACCATGTATAGCCATGTATTGCCATGTATTACCATGTATCGCCATGTATCACCATGTATAGCCATGTATAGCCATGTATACCCATGTATTGCCATGTATAGCCATGTATACTTATGTAATGCCATATATTGCCATGTATTGCCATGTATTACCATGCATAGCCATGTATACCCATGTATACCCATGTAATGCCATGTATTGCCATGTATTACTATGTATAGCCATGTATCACCATCTATAGCCATGTATAGCCATATATACCCATGTAATGCCATGTATTGCCATGTATTACCATGTATTACCATGTATACCCATGTAATACCATGTATTGCCATGTATTACCATGTATACCCATGTATAGCCATGTAATGCAATGTATAGCCATGTATAGTTATGTATTACCATGTATAGCCATGTATTGCCATGTATTACCATGTATCGCCATGTATCACGATGTATAGCCATGCAATGCCATGTATTACCATGTATTACCATGTATACCCATGTAATACCATGTATTGCCATGTATTACCATCTATAGCCATGTATAGCCATGTAATGCCATGTATTACCATGTATAGCCATGTATAGCCACGTAATGTTATGTATACCCATGTATAGCCATGTACAGCCATATATACCCATGTAATGCCATGTATTACCATGTATACCCATGTATCACCATGTATAGCCATGTATACCTATGTAATGCCATGTATTGCCATGTATTACCATGTATAGCCATGTATTACCATGCATTACCATGTATTGCCATGTATTACCATGTATAGCCATGTATACCTATGTAATGCCATGTATTGCCATGTATTACCATGTATAGCCATGTATTACCATGTATTACCATGTATTGCCATGTATTACCATGTATCGCCATGTATCACCATGTATAGCCATGTATAGCCATGTAATGCCATGTATTGCCATGTATTACAATGTATACCCATGTAATACCATGTATTGCCATGTATTACCATGTATAACCATGTATAGCCATGTAATGCCATGTATAGCCATGTATTATTATCTATAGCCATGTATAGCCATGTAATGCCATGTATTACCATGTATAGCCATGTATAGCCATGTAATGTTATGTATACCCATGTATAGCCATGTATAGCCATATATACCCATGTAATGCCATGTACTACCATGTATACCTATGTATCACCATGTAGAGCCATGTATACCTATGTAATGCCATGTATTGCCATCTATTACCATGTATAGCCATGTATTACCATGTATTGTCATGTATTACCATGTATAGCCATGTAATACCATGTATTACCATGTATAGCCATGTATAGCCATGTATAGCCATGTATTACCAAGTGTAGGCAAGTATTGCCATGTATTACCATGTATTGTCATATATTACCATGTATAGCCATTTATAGCCATGTAATGCCATGTATAGCCATGTATTATGTATAGCCATGTATAGCCATGTAATGCCATGTATTACCATGTATAGCCATGTATAGCCATGTAATGTTATATATACCCATGTATAGCCATGTATAGCGCCATATATACCCATGTAATGCCATGTATTACCATGTATAGCCATGTATACCCATGTATATGCCATGTATTACCATGTATATTGCCATGTATTACCATGTATAGCCATGTATACCTATGTATACCCATGCCATGTATGTATTACCATGTATTGCCATGTATGTAGCCATGTATTGCCATGTATTACCATGTGCAATGTATTGCCATGTACCATGTAATGCCATGTATACCATGTATGTATATATGTATATGCCATGTATAGCCATGTATTACCATGTAAGCCATGTATAGCCATGTATACCCATGTAATGCCCATGTATTACCATGTATAGCCATGTATCACCACCATGTATTGCCATGTATTATTGCCATGTATTGCCCATGTATACCATGTATATATGCCATGTATATTGCCATGTATTACCATGTATTACCATGTATATAGCCATGTATACCCATGTAATGCCATGTATACCCATGTAATACCATGTATGTATATTGCCATGTATTACCATGTATAGCCATGTATACCACCCATGTAATGCCATGTATAGCCATGCCATGTATATGCCATGTATTACCATGTATAGCCATGTATTACCATGTATAGCCATGTATAGCCATGTAATGCCATGTATAGCCTTGTATTACCATGTGCCATGTATTACCATGTATAGCCATGTATAGCCATGTATTGCCATGTATTAGCCATGTATTACCCATGTATAGCCATGTATTGCCATGTACAGCCATGTATTACCATGTATAGCCATGTATAGCCATGTATTGCCATGTATTGCCATGTATCCATGTATTACCATGTAGCCATGTATTACCATGTATTGCCATGTATTACCATGTATTACCATGTATATATGCCATGTATTACCATGTATAGCCATGTATTACCATGTATGCCATGTATTACCATGTATAGCCATATAGCCATGTATGTATGCCATGTATGTACCATGTATTGCCATGTATACCCATGTATGCCATGTATTTGCCATGTATACCCATGTATTGCCATGTATTACCATGTATAGCCATGTATTACCATCTATTGCCATGTATAGCCCCATATAATGCCATGTATAGCCATGTATTGCCATGTATTGCCATGTATTGCCATGTATTGCCATGTATTACTATGTATTACCATGTATTGCCATGTATTACCATGTATTACCATGTATAGCCATTTATAGCCTTGTATAGCCATGTATTGCCATGTATTACGACGTATTGCCACGTATTACCATGTATACCCATGTATCGCCATGTATCACCATGTATAGCCATGAATAGCAATGTATACGTATGTAATGCCATGTATTGCCATGTATTACCATGCACAGCCATGTATAGCCATGTATACCCACGTAATGCCATGTATAGCCATGTATTACCATGTATCGCCATGTATCACCATGTATAGCCATGTATTGCCATGTATTACCATGTATTGCCATGTATTACCATGTATTACCATGTATACTCATGTAATACCATGTATTGTCATGTATTACCATGTATAGCCATGTATACCCACGTAATGCCATGTATAGCCATGTATTACCATGTATAGCCATGTATTGCCATGTATTACCATGTATAGCCATTTATAGCAATGTAATGTTATGTATAGCTATGTATAGCCATGTAATGCCATGCATTACCATGTATAGCCATGTATAGCCATGTAATGTTATGAATAGCCATGTATTACAATGTATATCCATGTATTGCCATGTACAGCCATGTATTACCATGTATTGCCATGTATTACCATGTATTACCATGTATTGCCATGTATTACCATGTATACCCATGTAATACCATGTATTGTCATGTATTACCATGTATAGCCATGTATAGCCATGTAATGCCATGTATAGCCATGTATACCCACGTAATGCCATGTATAGCCATGTATTGCCATGTATTACCATGTGTGGCCATGTATTACCATGTATAGCCATTTATAGCAATGTAATGTTATGTATAGCCATGTATAGCCATGTAATGCCATGCATTACCATGTATAGCCATGTATAGCCATGTATTACAATGTATATCCATGTATTGCCATGTACAGCCATGTATTACCATGTATTGCCATGTATTACCATGTATACCCATGTATTGCCATACATACCCATGTATTGCCGTGTATTACCATATATAGCCATGTATAGCCATGTATACCTGTGTAATGCCATGTATTGCCATGAATTACCATGTATAGCAGTGTATTGCCATGTATTTCCATGTATTGCCATGTATTACCATGTATCGCCATGTATCACCATGTATAGCCATGTATACCCATGTAATGCCATGTATTACCATGTATAGCCTTGTATACCCATGTAATGCCATGTATTACCATGTATAGCCATGTATACCCATGTAATGCTATGTATTGCCATGTATTACCATTTATAGCCATATATAGCCATGTATTGCCATGTATTACCATGTATCGCCATGTATTACCATGTGCTGCCATGTATCGCCATGTATTACCATGTATTACTTTGTATTACCATGTTTTGTCATGTATTACTATGTATTACGATGCATTACTATGTTTTGCCATGTATAGCGATGTATTGTTATGTACTGCCATGTATAGCCGTGTACTGTCATGTACAGCCATGTACTCCCATGTATTACATGTATTGACATGTACTGCGTGTATAGCCATGTATTGCTATGTAGTGCTATTAAATAATTACTCTGTATTGCTATGTATTGCCAAGTGTGGCCATGTATTTACTATGTATGTCTTAAGTTGGATTAAAGTCTTTTTTTTGTCTGTTACATAGTTCAGGGGTAGGCCAACAAAAGGCTCTTTTTCCGAATGAAAATATAGTTTTTTGGGGAGGGCAACGTTCTTTCAGGATTGTAAACGGATACTAGTTGACAAAGATATTCAAGTGCCATTCGTCACTTTAGAAAATACCCTCGTTGAAAGTCAGTTAAGAACTTATTGGTCCCGAAGAGCAGGGATCTCGCCCATAAGGCGAAATTCCGAGGAAGCACTCTATTAGCTCGCCCGTTTATTACGGAAAGTATTTACAGTTGTTATTTATAGTCAGTATACCAGAAAAAAATATCGATTTCTTTTATAGATAGGGGCCGCAGGGGATAGGGGGTTAACGTTTTCTTTTGTTCGCGCCCGTAGTTAAGAGAACTCATGAGGATCGAGGCCATATACTATACATTAAATATATATATATATATTTTTTAGCCGATATTGGCGTTTCGAAAACATCCATTTTTCCGCACGTTGCAGAACTATCAATTCCTGTACTGACTGGAAGTGACTCGCTGAAAACATAAATAAATGCGTGGAGAAGATGGCTGTGAGGGGAGGGTTAAGTCCACCACCAGGACCAATGAATCAAATACACTATTGTCACAGTATTGTCAAACATACCTCCCTAGATTCTATTAATAAATTGATTATTCAGTTGAAAAATGAGTCCCTTAGTCGTTCCCTCTTATAGTGTTAAATTCAAATCGGCATTCGTACATGCGTAAAGAACAGTGAATATTTCAAGAAAACATCAATTCAGAACCCCTTTATTTGAAAAGATTTATAACAATTTTAAAGGCATAGAATTTATTTAAAAATTCAGGACAACTAAGCCGGCCAAAATTTCATGACTGACTCGCCGTAAATTCACAGTATGCAAGATTGCAAAAATAAATCTGAAATCTGAAAATAGGATTTCCTATAGTCTCAAGCTAGCAAAATACCGTAATATTCAGAAAAGAAGACCCTCAATTTATAAACCAATCCTATTTTTAATGGCATTACATGGTAATGCATGGCAATACATGATAATACATGGCCATACATGGCAATACATGGTAATAGATGGCGATACATGGCAGTAATTGGCTATACATGGCAATACATGGAAAGACAAGGAAATACTTAACAATTATTCCACGAGGGCGCGTTGGATATGAGATGATAGATAGCCAACGAGGCGCATAGCGCCGAGTTGGCTATGATCATTTCATATCCAACAAGCCGGAGTGGAATAATTGTTTTATTAAAAACGCCCACAAAATCTCGTTGAATCGCCCCGACTAGAACAAACCGGAAAAGACAAGGGACTTCCGCTATTGACATGTCACACGTCTATCAAAACTGTCAACGCGCGAACGGGCTGGCCTAGACTGCATGAATGAAAAATCAAAACATTGTACGATGAACATTAGTTTTTTAAAAACTCATCGTGATTCTAGGATTTTACACAGCAGAACAGCTTAAAAAACCCGGCAGATAATGTGAAGGAAAGGAATTTTTAAGTGACAGCCGTCGAAATTACTTTGGATTTGGATTTTCGGTGCAGTTATAAGTAAGAACAACGGAGAAAAACTACTGGTATTACCTCGTCGCTTGTTATGAAGTTGTTTGAAGCCACAAGCTGGTTTTGCTGAACGAGAAAAGAAGTTATACTGCCGCCTCCATTGCTCTAATGAATGGCTGCATAGCCTGTATTTGTAGCTGGTTACTTGTGATTTATATTCTTGATGTTGGATAAACAAGCTGCAGTTATCTATCGGCGAGTGACTCGATCGGCGAATGGCTTCGCGATCATGAAGAAACAACACTTGTCTTCTTTCGTAGCTGGTCAAGGTACTTTAGTTCCATGTGTTTTTCGACAAACTTTCAAACAAGCTCTTGTGGCTTTTTGTTTGTTTTTGTCATTTTTCTTTCGTTGAAATTGCATTTCTAGTATTCTAAGAAATGAATTAAAACGATTTGCTTCGGGCGCCGTTCTATCCTTCGCGAAAAAAAATCTCAGTTAGCTTCCAATTTTAAACTGACGCGTACACCGACCATATATGGAGAGCATGGTATATTAGCTCATATACCATAAAGGCTAAGCCAATCAAAATGCTAGAATTGCATTATCCAATGATTCAGTTTTTAATAAATGGCTATATACATGGCAGTACATGGTTATAAATGACGATACATGGCAATACACGGCTATAAATGGTAATACAGGCAATACATGGTAATACATAGTTATACATGGCAATACATGGCATTAAATAACTATGCATGTCATTACATGGCTATACATGGCTGTACATGACATTACATGGGTATACATGGTAATACATGGCTATATATGGCTATACATGACATTACATGGGTATACATGTCAATACATTATTTTAAATGCATTCTTGATACACTTTAATAACCCTACTTAAAGTACCTACCCTTGAAAACTAGTAACTTGCCAGTGGATAACTTCAAAAAATACTTGTCCTTGATGGGTCGACACCTGAGCCCGCGATACGGTCAAGTAGTACTGGTCAGCGGGTGCCCTGTTTTGACAGTTGCCATTGATCAATACATTGATGTCCAATATGTGTGCATTATCGACTGAATTATCAGTTTTCCTGTGCTCCCAAGCTAGAAAGTATGAGATTGAACATCGTTCGCGATCCAGTAAAACAATTATCTGGTCAGCGGACAGCTTCCAAATAAATAATGTCACCTCGATGAGTTGACACATGAGCCCGCCATATGGTCATGGGATACTGGTCAGTGACTATCCTGTTTTGACAGCTGTCAATTGACCATATTGTGAACGTCCTATATAAAAGATGTGGACTTGCCAAGACAGGCGTAAGACACCCCTCCCTTCCTTTTGATAGTCTCCCCTACCCCACCCGTACAATCCGTAGACGCGTACGAGCCCCGCTATAAATATATACACGCAGGACGTGGCTGATGCAAGCGTGAATAACTGTTGTAAGCTGAAGCTTGTATTTTCGGAAAAGCGTCTTTAGTTTTCGGACAGACGGTATTTTGAAATCAGATTGGGATTTTATATCAAACTGAAAGTTTCCCGACAGACAAGCCGTGATCGAGTCAACGGCCGTCGTGTACGAACACACGAAAGGAACTCATAAGATGTGTTCGCCGATTGGGCACAATAATACAAAGCATCGTTTGTGCCCAATCAGGAGCCGGCACCCGCTTGAATTTTTGGAAATGGTCCGGTGAGAGTCGGTACCCAGGGGCTCTTCCGCCCTTACTTGAAAACTTTCGTCCCGCCTTTTCTCCCGAGCCGACTCACTGCCCCTGGGTCTCCGGGGATGGATAAACCGGGCTCAAGTTACTTAACGGGCAAGCTTAGGCAAGCCTATTGTGCCTGTTAAGGAAGATTCTCATTAGTAAAACCTATACCGAATTAGTATGCAGGAAGACACTGACTAGGCACTTAATTAGTATGGAGGAACGCAATTCTTTGTTAGGTTAAAAACAATGGGTGACGTCATAGACTATCCCTAAAGCGACTATCCCTAAACTATCCTTAGCTATCCAACAACGGGACTTATCTTGCAACAAAGAAGACTACTTGTATCCCGATAATCCGGGCGCCAGCTAAATCTGGGCGAAAATAAATTAAACCAGACGTTTGACTGAAGTGAACTTTGGTTATTGGGACACTAACCCACATTCTTGACGGTGTCTGCGATGGTAGAAGCTGACTGTTCTTTAAAACGATTTAAATTACAGAAGACAACTGTTTTACGGAGTGCTAGCTGAATACAGTACGTGTGCGCTCGTAAGCTATTCGTCAAGATTCAATGGTCGTCCGGTGTTATTTCTATTTTTGTGAGTTTGGTGGGGGGAGGGGTTCGAACGCCTGAAAAGTAAAAAAGACGTACTTTATTGAATGTCAATATATGCAACTCAAAAGTGGAAGAAATAAGGGCACTGTTTTTTTTTTTCTTCTCCTGCCAGAGCAGGACCGCCATTTTATTTGTTCATTCGAGAGGCGTGCAGGTCCAGCCGTTTGCAGCTAAAACTTCTTTCGCATCAATTGAAATCCAAAAATAATGGTTCAGTTTTTTAATTTTAGTTCAAAGACGACAGACGGGGCAATTTGTTTTTGCTTGAAATATCTAAAAGTCGCAGCTGTTCATTGTTCATCAGTAGGATGCCTAAAATGTGTGCAATTCCACAGTTGGTTCCAGCTTCAATAAATCCTATACCAATTGTAGAACATTTTAGGAGAAGCCACCCACAATGTAAGAACGTACAGTTACTGACAAGGTGTGTGAGAAGGAAACAACCCAAAGGAAATAACGCGGAGTAAAAATAAAATAACGAACTAAATGCAATTATATTTAGGCTTTGAAACTGTATCCTATCTTCTGTTGCAACGGATGGCAAGCATAGAAATAGATCGAAAAAGCTGTTTTAATTCTATGCCCGCAAAAATTACCCAAAAAATACTATGGTTAGTTCTCCTTGATGAAATGTGTCCGATGTCTTCTTGATATTTCTACATGAGTAGTTTGCGTATGGCTAAAAGGCGCTAAATAATGACCTCAGCACAGAATTGACCTAGATCAGCAAAATGTCCTCGTGACATATCCCCCAAGACGCTGAGTATTGGTACGGCTACTTGGATAGATTCCGCAACCTCCCGCTCTGTCAAGCGTTCTACTGACTAAGCTAGTCCTGTCGCGATAACGTGCTAGCGGTTATAAACCGACTGTAACTTCTGAAGTGTAAAAAATACTAAGCTACCAATTATTCCTCATTTGATCTTGGGACTAGAGGCTTTATCTTTGCCTAAAAAGCCCGGCTTACTTTACAGTAACCTTACCTACCCTAGTATTGTTAACACACAGCTCTAAATTCATTATTTGAACGATGTGTTCTTACAAAATTTCGCTTGCAGAAAGCTGTATCAATAAATATCCTCATTGTATCAACTGGGCCCAAAAAGGAGAATGCAAAAAGAACAGTCTCTTCATGATGGCAAACTGCCGACGCAGCTGCGCAAACTGTGGTAAGTACGGTGGCCCACACGTGCAACGGCAAAAATGAAAAAGTCGCGCAAACCAAATTTCAACTGACAACCAAACAAAACAAATTAGCAGCAAAATGAAACGTCACGGCCAAATAAAATTAACTCACGGAAAAATGCAATCAACTCACAGCAAAACAAAATCTTCTTCAGCTCGAGGCAAAAATTATAAACTTATACGAATCGTCAGCGGCTGGACACTTCAACTCCCATAGGGAGTTACGCGTGCTTGCATCTAGCAAAATGGCCGCGAACCAAAGCGATATGTTACGACATGATAAGAGAATCACCTCGTATTCGGAGCCCTGCCTGAGGTAATATTTCAAAGCGATTTCTGCACTGTCAAGAGTTATCGCTAAATAACACAGTATTCCTCTGACTGACATTCGCAGTTCACAGATCCTCAAGGCGTTCAGTACGCTTTGGTTCGACGCCATTTTGCTATAGGCAAAGCGTGCAACAAATTATGCTATTATTTGTTTATACTACTAATAAGAACATATTTTTTTGTTGAGACATTCTAGAATGTACAATTACTTTTCCAGAAGAGAGTCAATGTAGCGCTACAGGCGACCATTGAGACGTTGTATGGGAATTAAAATACTGAGGCCTGCGAAGGCTAAATATCATTACATTTTACCTTCTTATATAAAATAAATAAAGGAGACTTTCCTTTGATCTATTCCTGTAGTTTTTTGGTGTGAATTCATAAAGTCCACTAAATCGATTAGTTCACACCAAAAAAAACACCGGAAAAGATCAAAGTTCTCCTTTATTTATTTTGTAGAAAAAAGAAAAAATATAATGATATTTAGCGTTCGCTAACCTCTGCCAGCATGTTTAAAAATACGAAGAAATATTCAATCCCAGCCAGTGTGCAAAGGAACTTTGCCAGCCAGCGGTAGCATAAGACAATCACCGGAACAGTTTCACACCAGAACTGGTGTAAAGTTTCGCAGCAAAAGCCAATGGTCGTATGTAGTAAGTAAGGTATTCCCCGTAAAATTTCACACCAGAAACTGGTGAAAAGTTTCGCAGCAAAAGCCAGTGGTCGTATGTAGTCAGTCAGGCAATTACCGGCCGCAAAAGTTTCACACAGAACTGGCGCAAAGTTTCGCAGCGAAAGCCAATGGTCTCAAGTATTCAGTCAGGCAATCACCGTACAAGTTTCACAGCAGAACTAGTGCAAAGTGTTGCAGGAAAAGCCAATGGTCGTATACAGTCAGTCCAGAATCTGGACTTTTGACTTCTTGGTCGAAAAGCAAAAGATCCCTCGGAGCTTTTCACCGATTGGTCAAGCAACATATCTGACTTCCGCGACTGCGTGAAAGTGTGTAAAAAAATAGTTATTGACGATTTTAAACCCGCACTTTTACTAACTGATGACCATGAAAGATTTGTTGCCGCAGAATCAATTCCTATACTTTTGACCACTTCCAGTAAAGTACTGAATTCGGTTGCTCAACTATTGTTTTCAATAAATTACTAATTTGTTTGACGTGACGGTTTGAACAGAGATACCACTCGGCAATCTTTGATCTGTGATGTTTTCGCTAACGACCACTGAATCAACTTAGCATTCACCTCTTCTGTAAAGTAGATGAATACATTTCGATAATAGCCGTCTTCGTGGCCTTTACCTAACCTGATCGCAGGTTAGGTAAGGAGCAATAACTGGACAATCAGAAGAAAATAAAAATTCCAAACAAAAATATCCTATTCTTCACGAGAAGTGATTTTAAAAAACATACTTTTAATTTGTTTATTTATAGGCCATTTTAACCAGCTCTTTTAACCCTGCTTCGGGCAACTCTGTCGGCAGCAGTTCGTCTCTAAGAAAATTTGAAAATACTGTTCACATTTGTGTTTTGTTTTTTGCGAGAACATATATCATAAAGTCTTTTTTATTCTCTTTTTGCTACTTTGGAAAAAGGGCCTCTCAGACGTTACGCCCGCTGTCAAATTTGAGGTCCTTCAGCCGGAAACATAATTATCAAAAAGTGTAATCTGAGTCAATGTGTTCGAAGATATCAATAAATTTTACAGAGCTCTTACATTTTATGCGCTTACAAAAAGTTTTAAAAGCGACAAACGCCTCTTCTCAGTCAGAACAGACACTGGTGTAAAAGTCAAAGAAAGATACCCGTTCAGGATTTACCCTGTGTAGTATCGTGGGATATTCTTACGAGTCCCGCTGCATTTTGGCGAGCCCGTAGGGCGAGACAAAATACAAGAGACGAGCAGAAATATCCCACGACACTACACACGAGGCCGTCCAATAACAGATTTATTATTCAACTCGAGAAGTATAAAATAGAACTCGGTAAATGTGCACGGACAGTACCGTTTTCTACCTATGACGAGAATGAGTGACAGACTGACGAGAGTCGAGTTTTCGCGCGCTTTCATCAACGCTGTTGCTGATTGGTCTGACAGAAATGAAACCTTGTCAAACTAGTTTACTCGGTAAATCGATTTTTTCACAAGTTTTCGTCGCCGCTTTTAAACATTTGCTTAAAAAGCAGAGATGGAGTGAAAAATAATCAATCGTGAGGCTTATGATGGTAATCGGTTATGTAAAACGGACTGCAAGTAGAAAAACTGAACCGAGCAAATCGATTCTACAAAATCTCTTCTACAAATTGAAGGAGTTTCAAAGAGCTACTCGTAAACAGAAGACTTGAAACCTTATCTTCGCCGGGGTATACTAGGTCATACTAACGAAAAGAGGAAGTCTTAGAGTGTCTACCATGTCGAGTTTCCTCATATCTTTTTAAAAGAACTAGAGGTGAAGACTGTTCAGTTCTTCGGTGGGGATTGTATTTAATGGACGTTGTTTTTTTCACGGATTTTCGCCATCATTATCTCCACCACGCAACAGTTACTTCAGGTTTGTTTTCATCTTCTCTGTTGTATCTTAAGCATAACGTTTGCATGCTCCATTTATTTTTAACAATTGTCCACATTTCATTGTTGCTCAGACGACTTTACTCTAGAAATTCGGTTCATTTAAGCTCACAATTTGGCGACTTTTCCGTTATTTTCTTCGGAAAACGATGTATTTTCTTCATTCAAACCGGTCAAACCGGAGTACAAATACCGTGAGACATTTGTACTCGTTTTTAGCGTAGTTTGTACTCTACTGAGTGCAGTTGAATAATAATACAATTTATTATTCCACTATTATGTCATTTTACCATATAAGGTCAAGAGAACAAGCAAAATACGAGGCCGTAATACACCGTAGGGTCCTGGTTTAAACGGTTTACAACAGAGCGAATACCGGCGGATGCAAAAGGAGCAACTGTGGCTGACAGAATCAGGATGTTTGGATACTCTCATTAGAAAATAGAAGCCAAAATACCATTCTTCTTTTGCAGTAAAATAATTAACCTCTCATTCAATGGTTTGGCATATAATACGCGCGAACATTTTGCTAATTGTTAACGTCATTCTCACAGACAGAATCAGGATGTCTCTGAATACTCTCACCAAAAAATAGAAGCCGATTGCCAGATAATTTTTTTTTGTAGTGGAATAATAAACGTCTTATTCGATGGTTTAGCATAAAATACGAGCGGACATTTTGCTCATTGCTCGTATTTTTCCTCGCCCCTGCGGGGCTCGGAAAAATACAACGCAACTCGCAAAATATCCGCACGTATTATATTCTAAACCATCGAATAAGGTGTATTTACTGCACAGGCACTGAGATGCAACGGTACACCTAGGCGTTGCCTTTTTAACCAACAGTGACAACGGACGCGAAATAAGTTATACAGGTATTTTACTGTACAAGACATTTACAACAGGAATTTTTGCTTGCTTTTATTGACACACCCAAACAAATTTCCGTTTTTGGCAAAAGGTGTCATTTTCAAAGGGGTTTCGTCTTTTTCGCGTGGGGTGATTTTCACGCGCTAGCTCGCTCTACTATTTATGAAAAAAATTACAGTGCAGTTGCCAGGAGAAAAAGTATGCCTTTCTTATCCAGCCAGTACCAATTGTCCGTATTTTCAGCACGCGAGTGGCTCATTTAGATTTCCCAGCCAGCTAATTAGCCAATGATTTATTTCCCAACTAGCTGAAATTCTGACTTATCTCCGCACCAAGCACTGTTAACCGAGGCACAAACGGTTCAACAAGCTACAGACTTAAAATTCTGTTGGGAAAAGCAAGGTTCAATATTCCTTAGTATGACAGATACCTCGCGCATTCATAAATTGAACAATTTTCAAAATCTTCAGTCTTTGCAAACGGGTGAGGAGTAGACTAGAACAACTAATAATCATTGATTTTGGATCCACGTTGAGCAGGGTGGGGGGGGGGGGGGGGGAAGGAGGGGAGAGGAAGAGATAATTAATTAATTGAAGGTGCTGTTTTGTTGCGAGTATCCTTCAGATGTAGCCTATTTCCCTTTACTTTGTGGTATGGTCAGCTGTTGGCCTGTCGTCCTTGAGAGCAGACGGTCTAATTCATTTTTACCCAATTAGTCAGACAAAAAGTTAATAATAAAGTTAATAAAGTTAGTAGTTGAAACAATTTTGACGGGGGAGGAAACGCGCCTAGATCGATTGTGTTTTTCACTGCTAGAGGACTACATTTTGATAGTCTAGTGAAGCCAACGAAAATGCAGGATTTGCAATTACTTCACTAGTTCTTAGCATAGCAATAACATTAGGGACAAGAACCAGTGAATTTTATTAAACAAAATTTGAAAAACAAATTGCTTCAACTTTAACAATGTCAATCAAACGAATAATAGAGAAAGTGGTTTAACTGCAATGAACCTGAACTGTTTTCATGTACACAGTATATAGAAATGAGAAGTTTCGCTTGGTAGAGTGGAAGAAATTCTTTTACAATGCTATGATCACCTGATATAATAGCCACCGAGCTTTACAGCTCGGTAAGTTTAATTTGAAAAAAGCTATCAAAACTCGGTGGGTTATAAATTTTTATTTGATATGCTGGTACAAAAGCTTCGCGATTCTTCACAGCGAATGCAACGAGACGAAAACAATAATATTGCAAGTCAGCGAAGAATAACCATGGGCGCCAACATCAATTTTCGGAAAATAGCTGTTCGGAAGACGATTTGAGATCTAGAATTTTCGGAACATTTGTTGTAAAATTTCTTGCTTACCTGCCTCTCCTAGGATTTTCGAACATCTAAGAAATGGTATAATTGCCCATTTTTAACGGATTTTTACCCTAAAAAGGTCACTTAGAACTTTTGGGAGCTTTTTTTCTGGCTGAAATTTTCGAAAAGGTAAGTTTTGATCCCTATACTTTTCGGATCACTAGACTTTCAGCTAGGAAATCCGAACAGATGAAAAATTTTTAGGGGATAAAAATATGCCTATATCTACCGTTTAAATATTAAAATATGTTTAACAATGCTATGTTTAAATGGTTTTGAACTATATTCTCGTCGGGTGCCCCTGAATAAAGGCCTTGAAAAGATTATAATTGTCATTGATATGGTACAAAAGAGTCGCAGTTATTCACAGCGAATGCAACGTGACAAAAACATTGACAGTCAGCGAAAAATAATGGCCTTGAAAAACTTATAATGGAATCAGGCCGAGTCGTACACACATATTCCCAAAACCAAGACTTCGATTGATACAACCTAGAAGACACCTGAATAACACTCCGTCTTACATAATACTTAACTTATATCCTCCACTTCCGCGAAATACGCAAGCGATGAAGAAAGAGGTCAAAGTCAAAGAACGTGATCATGCACGAGCATGACATCTCCACGAAAACGAGTCCAAATGAGCCCAGTTTCCTGCGGCCGAGATGCCCCTGACAAATTAATAGGGGCGGCTAATTTGCAGTCGCCCGTGATGGCTCGAAAATTTCTGCCTTAGTGCCACAGGAACACCGACTTACGAACAAGACAGCGTATACAGCTAAGTATAATATAGTTCTTACAATTGTTGTTTGTGCCTGTGGTTTTAAGAGAGACTCCATGTGAAAACCATGCATTATAAAAAAATCCTTCTACAGTGAACATAACGGTTTTGTTTATATTCTAGGTAGGTTTACATATTGAGGTGATAAAAGGATGTGTGCAATATTGTAGCAAAATTCTTTAACTTGTAGAAGATATTGCGATCGAAAAGATCCACGACAGGAATTATTCAAATAGTGCCACACCCAAGTTTCTACTAATGTATTGACCATTTCCCGATCAAAATCACGTTAGATATGGTAATAAGTTGTTATTCAAGTAATTGTATGATTAAGTTCAGGCGTTTTGTATTATATATTAGTAGTAGACATAATTTTAAAATTAGCCTTTATGGACTACGTGTGACAGTAAGGATTTTGTGGTAAAATTATCGTTGAATGTTGAAATGGCGACGTTGTGTATAAAGTTGAAATGACACTGATCTTTTTTTATTGTCATTATACAAAGCGAATATCGTAAAAATCCGAAAATAAGCCCCTCCGTGTATAAGCCCCTCCAAAAATAAGACCCCAAACCAAGCCATCTATGTACAAGAACCCAAGAGGAAGACATGGAGTCGTAGATCAAGGGAATACACCCCGCTCCTATACTGTAGAACTAATGCCGTCATTGCTAACCAGCTCTTACACGCCCGCTCCTTTGAAATTCAGAGTTATATTCCTCAGAAATAATTGCTCAATAGAGCTACGCTGTAAATTCGAGGTAAAATGAAGCTTTGTTATACGGCAAGATCTTGAGACACGAAAGAAATTCCCCGATTTGACGATGTTATTTAAGATAAAGACAGGAAATGAACGGGTATCCTTCCCAAACGACCTACGCAAGGTGGACTGTCCCTAATGACCCGAGCTATTGCACAGTACCCATTCCAGTTCCAGCGTTGCTCGTTTATCGCTAACGCGCACAAGTATTCCGTATGTGTTGATTCGGTCGCTGCATTCCATTCAAGTATATTATCTATTGACGATTTTTTTCATATGACTAGTAATTTTATCAATGGTTTAATGCCAGAATCTGGGAAATGAAAGGAGGTAAATATACAAAGATACTCGCCAAGATTCGGGTCAGAGAGTTATTTCGTATACGAGATGTCCGAAAAAATGTTTTTCCCAAATTTATAGGAATTTATATGGAGACGCCATGCTGGTGCCCACCTGGATGGGCACCAACATGGCAGAAGGAAACCAACAGAAACATCTGTTAACGAGTTTTGCTACAAAAGCGTGAATTTATCCCTTGAGGAACTCATAACCATTAAATTAATACTTTTTCTAATACATTAACCGTTTAAATAGCAAAATTCCCCGAAATAAGTCACTTTTTTAACCTACATTACAGCTCTCTCAGCCGTCATGTAAAAACCGCGTCACGCAAAAGCTTAAAAATTCAAGCGCACTCTAACACAAACAAAATCAAGAACGCTTTTGAAGCAAAAATTTGTATGAAAATTATTTTTCAGCTGCTCTAATACGTCATGAAAGTAAAATCTCAGTAGGATCGATAATAAGAAGTCTGAATTTTAGTGACGTCATGTGAAAACCAACAATTTATTTATTTATTTGTTTTTATCTTGTTTATATATTTCACTGTCAATGTCATGAGCTTCATTGTACTGACCTTCCATTGCCAGATAAGCTCGCTAGAGGCAATTATGTCAATTAAACATTAAAGATTAAAGATTGTGTTATGTTATGTTATGCTATGTTTTGTTGTGTTATGTTATAAATTTAAAGGCCTGAATACAAAGGCAGACCGTAGTAGCCCCGCCTTTAGCAATATCTTTTCAAAGATCTGTTTAATAGACGCACACTACTTACGGAACCTTAGTTGCTCTCTGAACTCGACTTTCTTGGTGGAGAAGGAGGAATAAATTAAAAAGAAGCCCGAAGAGTGCCACTGCCGCATCATTTCAGTATCATATTTTCTGAACCCGTGCAATTCACAAAATGTGTAGCGGTGTTGGATATAATGAATACCTTGAACATTTAATGCGATATTCGACGACAGTGAAGAAAGCAGCCTCTCCCCAGAAAGTCACGAAACAAAACGGATTCTTGTCAAGACGAGATGGAAGAAATTGAACATTTGGATCCTTAGTCCCGCATTCAAGAAGAAGTTCAGAAACGACAGCAGGTGCAGCGCAACTCTTTGATTAACGCGTGGCTCGCGTTAAGGACGAGAATTCTCTCCTTACAGTCTACAGAAAAGAGCTCAGAAAGATACTCTTAGAATATATGCAATGGATGCGTGCTGTGAAGAAAGACTATACCTTCCGTACTTTCCGTAAAGTAATAAAAACACCAAAAGATCTTAAAGATACAGAAGGATTTGATAGGATAGAATCAACAGAACTAGCTATTGATAAGCAGAAATTTTTGCATAATCGATTAATGGCAAACAAGCTATTCCCGAAAATGAGCACTAGAAAACGGTTAATTCTGCTGCAACACCACTTCTTTCCGGAAAACAATTTGCAGAAATTTGTGATAGATCTCTTTGACCCGCAAATATTTGAACTTTAACGCTGAGAGCTACACAGAGTTTTGAACTTTACCATACACTTAAAGCCAAAATAAGTGCTCCTTTGAGCTTATTCCGGAATACGGTCAATCCAACGAGGCCTAAATGTGAGCTTACATTCGAACCAATTTAATGACCAGCTTCCACTTGGCTTGCTACCTCAACTGGTTAGGGCGTTGCAACAGTATCGCAAAGGTATCGCAAAGGGTTCGAATCCCATCAAGCCTGTATTTTTTCAGGCTTTAACTACAATAATCTTCTTTTCATTTCTTTCTCCCTTCCGCGATTCCATATATAAAAGTCAAATATTCATCATTTCCTAAGCTTACATACCCTGAATAAACAGATTACACTTCATGATATTTCACTTATCAGGGTCAGTTCAACAGCTTAACTGATTCATGTGTGCTGGACTCGACGATCCTAGTAAAAAAAACAAAACTATTGCTGAAAGTTCTATACTTTGACGCGACCTTAACTTGCCTTGAGCTTTCAAAACTGTTTTTAATTAGCATGAAATCGTTTCACCTGGGTACTTTTTTGTTCTTACTTGCATTCAAGACAACATAATTATATTGTTTGGGGACTTGGAACGAATGAAGGCTGGATTACCCACCGGTTCAGGATTGAGTGAATGGCTGGCTTACTAATTTTGAATGTTTGTTTTCAGCCAAATGTGAAAATGAAAATAACAAGTGTATAGAATGGGCCAAGAAAGGCGAATGTACAAAAAACTGGAAATTTATGGAACAGAAGTGCTGGAGAAGTTGTTCAAATTGTGGTTAGTCACGCTGGTTGAATGTTAACTAACCCTCTGACGACCTTTTTGTTTGTTTCATTTCCATATAAACTATGCAAATTTTCCTTCCTGACTCATTTAGCTCCCTTTCAGCCATGAAGATGGTAAGCAGCAAATTCAGCAAGGCTAGATCTTCCACTACTGGTTCCTCATTTCGCAAATTTAGACCAATCCTGATATAGCTACATATACGTGCGCGTACCCCAAAAAGCTATTTTGGGGGAAATCCACTGCAAATTTTGCTATTCACCTTCTACTCTTTGCAGATTAAATTTGCTCCTTTTCTGGAAAGTTTGTCAGCCAAAATTCAGTGCGAAGGCGAGAAGATAAAGTGGTCAACAAAACTGGCTATAAAAAGGAAAGGCAGAGGGGAAAAGAGAGCGAGGAAAAAAGTTTGAAAGAGATTTGCAAAAAGGGCTTTTTAGCATGCGCGAAAAACAAGAAAGCTGCTCTAGGCCGAGGCTCCCTACTAGAACAGGTCTCTCACGTTAAGAGAAAAATGATAAGAAAGTGAGAGACTTCTGTCGGCCCCAGATGTATTTGGTATCACGCATGTACTGGTGCTTCCTTAACAACAGGTAACCTTTTATTTACGTGCGAAAAAACTTACAGAACCCGTTTGAGCGATAGCAACTTTGAACTTAGACATTTCCAGCTCGCAGTCTCAACAGTGGCACGAAACTGGTTTTGAAAACCAGTAAGTTTCGACCACAAATGTGGTCGGCGGTACTAAAAAAACTTGTCTTGGGCCGGTAGAGATCTCTCTTTTTCCTCTCTTTCTTCCCTTTCGCAGCTAACACCTCTGTTAGCGGGGAAAGGCCGAGTCAGAGGCGATTTAGATGATTGACGAATGTTGAAGTTTTGGTGGGTTGTCTTTTAATTGGTAGATCGCGTTTAGGGCAACGCTTTAAGCCACAGTAGTGACAAATTGGGAAAACGTAGCTTGTGTACAGACTACATAATCGGTGAAAACCTCTATTGGGTCATGACAGAAGCATATTTTACAATTTAAAGTTTACCAGCAAGTTATAATCGTTTAACCATTCGACAACTGCTTCGGTCGTTTTCGTTCCATGTGGAACGATGCATATCTTCCTTCCTGGACCCATTTAGCTGTCAGTTTAAAATGTTACTAAATTGGTAAGCAACAATGCGTCAGCAAAGATAGATCTTTCCAGCGATACCTTGTTTTGGATATTCTGACCAATCCTGACAGAGATACACTCACAAAAAAGGTAACAGTTTGGGGAAAAATCCACTGCCAATTTCGCTGTTTACATACTACTTTTTGAAAATTAAATTTGTCCCTTTCCTAAAATGTTAGCCGGCCACAATTTCATGCAAAAGAAAGAGGATATAAAGAGGGCAACAAAACCGCTAATAAAGAAGAAAGGCAAAGAAAAAGAGGGCGAGAGAGAAACATGATTCGATTCGCAAAAAATTTGGCTTTTGCGCACTAGTGAAAAACAAAAATGCTGTTTAATTACGTCAGATTAGTCAGAAAATATACCTTTTTTCCTTGCAAAACTCATTTTAAGCCATTCCTATGCTAATTAGCCGAAAACTAGTCCAAAGAAGAGGAATTGGTGAAAAATGCGGTTTTTTCGCTCCTCGCCGACCGTCACAAAAAGGTTAAATGAGCAAAATCTGTCATCCGTGAAATTAATGCCTTTTATTATTCATTCAAAATATTTCCCCAATTGTGATTGGCTAAAAGCACACTCATAATTCACCATAACCAGTTACTGATGACAAAATTTCGAAGAATTTTGTGTTTAACGAGGAAATGACGTCAAAAATGCAGCCTTCTACAGGTTAATGCACCGTTAACAGAGAAGACCTGGGGACGAGATTGAGTTGTTTTCGTTGTAAAAACTAAAATGGCGGCCTCTTCACTCGTTTCAAGAGTAAGAACTACAGCTGGAACTATGCGAAATAATGGCTAAACACATAGGAAAACAGCAACAAGACAACTCAGAGGGCGACATATGCTATTCGGAGAATATTTTGCTGGACAAACCTAAACATATACTATCGAAAATAAACTTAAAATCGGTGCAGGTAAGCTTGTTTTAGATATGTTTTTAAACTAGGAATTATTTTGAATGAATAATAAAACAATTATTGAATTCGGCTTTCGTTTCATATGAAGATAACACCCTCCTCGATCTCCGTAATTCTTCATAAGATACTCAGCCTCATTCATTAATTGTTAAATATCTTTTTCTAAACGCGCCGTTTTACAATTCCGCTTCTGTCATGACGCATTACAGTGAACAAAGTTTCCCTTCTGTAGTGTCCACTCCAAAGCTTTTCCACTTTTGCAAATGCAGTGCTAAATAATAGTTTGACGTCACAGCATGGCGGGTTATATTAAACAATTATGGAATGAGGCTGAGTATCATCTGAAGAATCATAGAGATCAAGGGGTGTGTTTTCATTCAAAATAATTTCTGGTTTAAAAACAAGCTAAAATATGCTTACCTCCATCGATGTTAAGTTCATTTCCGATAATGCACCTTAATCGGCAAGTTTAGGAGCTAAAGGGTTTTTAAGCTCCGCAAATATTCTTTCAAATTTGGTCGACAATAGCTGGTTATGATGAATTATGCGTGTGATTTTAGCCAATCAGAAATGGAGAAATATTTTGAATGAATGACAAAGCTAAATAAACTTTGTATTACCTTACGGTCGGTAAATTGTCGTCCTTCTGCTTGAGAAGTGGTATTTTGAGCTACTGAAGGGTTTGAGTTGGCTGTCTGCTATTCCTCTTAATTTGTTTTCCTGTAATAAATCTTCACATGGCTTCGCAGCGACCGAAATCCTCGCTAAAGGAAATCAAAATTTTGTTCCTGCAAACAGTTTTTCGCGACCAGTAAAAAATATGATTAGACTGTTGTCATCACAAAGTTCGCTTTCCTATAAATCAAACCATGATCCCTGGCTACCGAGGCCAGGGTGAAATACAACAGTAACTCCGCGTGGACAATACGGATAGAAACTCTGGAAATCACTATTTAGTCCATGCAAACAGATATTAAACACGTTTCTCTTTTCCTGCAAACGGTTCATCCAAGCGAGTAATGAAAGCGTTTAAAACTTCTCATATAAGAATTATTCTTATGCGTATGCTTGAATACTCTCGACTGTCATACATAAATTTCATGAAACGGGCCTCGCGTCACGTGAATAAAAATTTCAGCGTGATTGGGTAATTGTTTGTTTTGGTTCGCGAATCAAAACATTTCCAAGGGTGGAAAATCTCTGGACCGGTGTCAGCTTGTAAAGTTCTGTGTCTGCTATGAATTCTTGGACACAAAATTGTCGGGAAAGTCAAATTTTGTTACTTTCAAAGGTGGCCCGACTAAAACACGAACACCAAGCGAGATACGTTGGTAATTACATTCCACGCCTTAGCTCTGAGATAAGAAAGAACAATGCTCGTTTTTAATTTGCTACTTTTGAATACAGCTATTTCGAGAAAGGTTGTCGGAAAAAGTGCACGCGACAATCCCGAAAGGTATTGTGGGTGGTTTTGAGTTCACTGTTCTTCGAAGACATTTGAAAGAATGGCACAAGAGGCCATGGACGTTTGTTTGCGATAGCTAAAAGAAAGCAACAAAGGTAGGTTCGACAGCTACAGTACGTTAGGAACAGTGTATTGATTATATCTCATTTTACATTTTGGGATTGTCGCGCGGACATTTTTTGCGACAACCTTTCTCGAAATAAGCCTGTTCCAGGCTCCAAGATAGTGGGGAAAACGGGGCGAGAAAAAAAGCGCGAAAGTTTGACTGACTGACTGACTGGTGTTCATTTTCTACTACATCACCTACATGAACGATCGCATTCATGTCCGCTTCTTCTCCGGCGAATCGGAAAGATACTCGAGGGTGTGCGTTAGCTGCTGTGGCTGACTACAGGCATTTTTCTCTTCATCATGCGATCCAGTTTCATCCTGTCGAAAGCATCGCGACGCAGTACCAGTGCTACGCTACAGAGCAAACGACTTGTTAGTTGCTGATGTGGAAGCAATTCCATCCACGTCAAAACATTTCCAATCAACAGCTAAATTTAATTCCCGCGTCAGATGCGTCATGACAAAATCGGTTAGCAACCTTAGCTGGAAGAACTCGTCTCGCTGGTTTAGACACATTAACCTGTTTGTATGCCGGTTTCTCATATCTTTCTTTTTGTTTTATGGGAACTGGTTTAAGCAAATTCCAAGGGATTATAAAATCTTTACCATCAGTGGACAGCTCTTCTTTAATCCAATTATTGCGGTCCCAAGGGAAATACACACTCCTCCTGGAAATGAAGAGGAGATGCCCCTAAAAATAACCACCAGCATTATTTTGCAGTAACTTATGCAGGAATCCACAAAGCAAGCATAAATCTTTTCCTTGTGATTATGAATTTATACAACTAGAGGAATCATTGGGATGGCGTCCGAGTGGAGTTACTAGAGCGATTATTCGAGTTATCGCGGTAAATTTTAATTAGTGAATTTTTGATCAGGGTAAAGGAAATTTAGTTCAAGTTAGAGGGGAATTTGAGGTTTCCGAGTTGGAGTTAACCGAGTAAAAATGACTGAAAAATGCTGTGTGAAATACAAGGGAAATTGGACTAAGTTTGAGTTAGCGGGTAGTTCGAGATATCCGAGTTTGAGTTGATGGAGTTCTACTGTATCTTGCTGGCGAACTATAAAATTGTAAAATCAGCTGCTGTCATGACACACTGCAGGTTTTGACATGTCATTTATTTAAAAATCAGAGAGTGCTGTCCTCTATTTGATCCGCAAACTTGGACACAAAATTACGTTTGCCCAATTTGGCAATACTGCGACTTGAACTATCACCGTAAAGCGCGATCTACCAAATAAAAAACAACCATCTAAAACTTCCTGCGTTCTTTAATGTCTCTTTAAAATTCTATCTAAATCGCCTCCAAAGCAGTCGAGATATAAGCGTTTTAAAATATGTAGAACAAGCAAAATTTTGTCTTATTTATTTATTCATGAATTGGCGTAAACTGCAGCCTTAAGCAACACGACCACGACGACAACGACCACGTCAAAAAAGCAATTGGTTTTATGAGCAAAACAACAGCTCTGCACGTGTATCATGCTTTTTACTACATTCCGTTGACGTCCACTACAAAAGGGAGTGTGTTACATAACACCGGAGCCTGGTTCCCTCTCGTGGCTCTGGAATTGTTTACAGGATATACCACAAAATGTCCATCCTCGGAGACCCAGGGGCAGCTAGTCGGTAAAAGTACTTTAAGATCGAGAAGAGCTCTTCCCAGTTCAAGCTGCCCCTGGGTCTCCGAGGATACAAAATGTCATGCCGGCGCGAATCACACCGGGGTGAATTCATCCGGTCGTTGTACCGGAGTGAGAATTTCACTTCAGTACGAAATTTCGCAACGGTACCATGTAAACGCGAAATGACCACGCTTTTCGCCATGAAAATGGTCTGCCGGTGGACTGAAACGGGTAGCGCATGAGTAGTTCTCGTCAATTCATTCATGTTGGTTACGGAACGACGAAAAACGTGCAAAAATATTAACACTATAAGAAATCAAGAAGTCGTCCCGGTATGAAATTAGCGCCGGTGCGAGTTTTCTCATGTGAACACCCCCTAAAGCCCCGTGCAAACGGACGCAACATTATTGGCTACAGACTCCGAACATTTTTAGATGTTACATGTTGCGTCCGTTTGCACACCATGTTGCATTTTGCCGCATGTTGTTGCGTGTTGTTGGGAGTTGTTGCTTATCCTAGCAACTCCTCTCCACCAGCCCATCCAAACCCGGGCAGCGAAAGTTTAAAGTTGTTTCAGATTACCATCTCCGTCCCGAACATAAGATGTAACTTCCTAAAAACATTTCTTTTGTTGGTATTGTACATAAAGCGCCTTGTCAGAATAAGTATCCGGCCAAGTGCATTAACTGGGCCAAGAAAGGAGAGTGCAAAACAAACAGAAAATTCATGGATAAGTTCTGCTGGAAAAGCTGCTCAAGTTGCGGTAGGAGAGCAGATCAAGTATAATTGCTTTTATTAGGAGCCATAATGCAAGTAGGAGACCGTAAGTACAAGGTACTAGCGGTTTCATCAAAAAGGTAAAATGTGGAATTTCATTTTTAAAGCACCTTGCGCCACCCTTAACGTCATAAACTCACGCAGGCACCCGGGAATTTACGAGGCTCCAGCGTGGAATTTCATCACCTCGATGGCGCATATGGGCTAAAAATAGCACATCTGACTATTTTTGTGAAATCAACCCCATAACTGAATAGGGTAGCAGTTACGGTCTCCTACCTTGATTATGGCCCCCGTTGTAATTAATTGTTAATTTCCCATCGGCTGCTTTAGTTGGGGGGACCTAGGGACGTGTGTTTCTCAAAACTCCCGAAAACATTTCTGTCCCAAAATTTTTTATCAAGTGCACAAAGTTCAGTAGCAGAAAAACTATTTTCAGTAGATATCAAATAGAAGAAAAGGGAAAACTTTGCAAGTTCGAGAGATTTGTTGGCCTCACCTGCACAATAAATCCCAAAATATATGATTAAAAACACTTTTTGTGGGAAGTTTAACAGGCCACAGTTGATCAAACGGTGGATAACGCCTATACACTGGATAGCGCAATTGCTTTCCCTAATACTTATCGGCTTGATAGTGATTTATACGGTGGATAGCACTATACAACGTTTGAACAAGGCCAGGTATTTGCGCACATCTCCCATGATACTACGCGCTTCGCATTCAATCAAAGCTACAGGGCAGGGGACAACACGGTAGAGACCCATGAAAAGTACACCGAGGAGTTATGAAAAGAATTACAGTAGAACCCCAGTAACTCGAAATCTGAAGGGAAACGAAACGCAATTCGAGTTAGGGAGGGTTCGAGTTATCGGGTTCGATCGCAAAATTCAATTTTCAGTCTTACAAATTGATAGTTACTGATTTTTCAGCACTTCAGTGTATGGTGTTACTGCAGTGGAAGCTTAACGTATTTCACCAGAAACGGTAACATATGATTAGGCATTTTTATGATAAGAAGTTATCTGTTCTTTGCACCAGTTAAAATCAAATTGCTCAAGCGTTAACCAGCGATTTCAGTGGTGTTTTGAATTATTAAACAATAAGAAGAGCCAATGGGATGAAATCCGAGTGGAGTAACAAGAACCAGAATTCGAGTTACCGGGTAAATTTCAGTGAAATTTTGATTAAGGGAAAGGAAATTTAGTATGAGTTAGCGGTGAATTCGAGTTATCTAAGTTCGAGTTAGCTGAGTAAAAATGATTGAAAAGTGGGATGAAATTCAAGGGAAACTGGACTTAGCTCGAGTTAGTGGGGAATTCGAGTTATCCTAGTTCCAGTCAGTGACGGGTCCAGGGGGGGTGTGGGGCGGGCCCCCCTTATTTTTAGACCAAACTGAGGCCCGAAGAGTGGAAAAAATATTTTTTGACACCGGCCCTCCTATCTCAGGGTCTGAATGACCGCCATCTCCCCCACCCCCCCTCCCCCCTTATCTGAAGGTCTGGATCGGCCACGGCGAGTTATCGGGGTTCTACTGTAGTCCAGAACACTGCAAGAAATTTGCAAGAAATGAGTGCAACGGGTCACCTTACTGCAGTTACTGCACTTTCTAACGCAGAATCAGTACCTCATAGTTGTCGGTTCACTGGAATGTTGAACCATGGTCCCTGGTTTTAACGTCTTGTCTAATTCTTTCCCATTAATTTCTGAATTCGGATCATTTATTGGGTCTTCGGGTCGGTTGTTTGATAGCTTCTGGACAAGAGTTTTCATCAACAGGTGTTATACGGCTAAACCTAATAAAATTCTCAAGGAAACTACGCCTTAAACCAGCGTCTGTTTACAGGTGTTATGGAAATGGTAAATAGAATAAGATGGTACTCTAATTTGAATAAGAGTTTCCTAATGGCAACGAGGAATGGGTTATCCGAATGCTATGCCATCTTTCCAATTTTTTTTTTTCAGCTAAATGTGAAAACAACCATACAGGTTGTATACGGTGGGCAGCTAATGGACAATGCTTCAAGACTCAACCTTACATGACGAAGAATTGTTGGAAGAGTTGCTCGTTTTGTGGTATCCTAGATTTAATCTGTAATATTGGATTAAGGCCATCTATCTTAACAGTAGTTTGATGATCTACAGGGTGTTTCAAAAGTTCGTTCCGATTTTTTATTGGCTTAAATTTTACTAATTATTAAAAAAAACCTTTCGTAAATCTTAGTAAGTTTTTCATTATTCATTTAACATTGAATAACTAAAATATTAGTAACCAGAATGTCTTCCTGTATGTTTTCTGACATTTTCTAAGCGGTGAGGTATAGAATGTACGAGCTCCCAAAGCGCGTCCAAAGTCACATCCTTCCAGGCAAAGAGTAGTCACTGTCTTAGCTCGTCCAGTGTTTTGGGGGCTGGATCTTTGTATGTTGTCTCGTTTACGATAATCCAGATGGTCTCTAGCGGGCTAAAATCACATGAGTTTGGTATAAAGTTGGAAAATCCTTCTGACACCATGCTTGCATGAAGTGTGCACTGCCTTTTTCTCTTCAAGGCTTTCCAACATTTTTTGGTATCTTATACCCATACCACTGTGCTCGAAACTTTGATTGATAATGTGAAGTTGAAATTTTTTTACCTTTCTGTTTTGTGGAATTATTAGCATTTACTTACAACTTACACTTCTCACATAGCTTGTGAAAAAACGGCCAACAACGCCTTGGTTTGTCTTTTAAGGTCTTTACTTTTGACCACTTGTTTGGTCATCGTTCAGACTTCTTCAACAATTTGTTTTTTGACTGAATAGCAAGAAGACCATAAAAATAGATGCATGAGCTCTAGCACAACCAGTGTAGGCCTTCATTTTCATGAAGGAGTAGAGAAAATAAAAGAAAACGATAAAAATACCAAAATAGAAAACCTACAAAATGGACACGAAAAGTATGACGGGAAAAACCTCGCGTACGTGTACAGTTGGGGCAAAAATTAAAAAAAATTATAATTTCTTCAAACTTTAGTTTGAAATTGCTTTAAGTAGTTATTTTGATAAATTTCTTACCTAAAACAGTTAACATTTGCCTAAGGAAGCATTAAATGCTTTGCGCAAAATACAATTTACAATCGGGAACGAACTTTTTAAACACCTTGTAGTGATTAAGGCGCTGACTGACTCCAAATCTTAGGGTTCGAGTTCTTGTCTGCTCTCTCGGGGTTTTTAATTTGACGTCCCATTCACAACCGGCAAAGCTCGGACAAATGTTAAAGCTGTTTTAGGTTAAAAACAGTCTGGCGACAACAAAATTTAGTGCAAATGAAAGCTTACTTGAATGCTACGTATAAACGTCTGCCTTTAAGCCTGTTCCAGGCTCCTACCACGTGGAACAGGCTTCTTATTTTTTAATGCGCCTATAGTTTCTTACCTTTGATAACAATAGACAACCTGCGAGGAGTTCAGTGATAATAGAACATTATATGCTCTAAAACGTTTCCGCCCAAGATTCGGAAGCAAACTACGTCCGTGACTTAAAACTCTCGCAGAGCCCGAGTGAATACTTGTCATTGTATTTCGTGCTTGTCAGGTTCTGAACTCCGCGGTACCGCAGCAGGTCAAAAAACTTTTATCATGTTTTCTTTCTATTTTAGCTCCTTGCATTGACAAGCATCCTAAAACTTGTCCAGACTGGGCTAAACGGGGACAATGTGAACAAAATAGAAATTTTATGGAAGAATACTGTTGGAAGTCCTGCTCAAAATGTAAGTAAGAAGCCATTATCTGATGATTGTCCGCTATTAAACGTCAGTCAAAGGTTACCGGGAAGTCGGGATGGAAACGCAGCCAGTACATGTCCGTGCAAGAGTCAGCGGCACTGAAACTTTTTTCTTTACAATAAACGACGATTTAATTTACAGGATAGGAAAACACTTTTTAACACAAGCTTTCGATTCCCTATCGGAATCTTTATCAAGTGATGCATTTGGGCGTTTTGTCGCGTGATTTATACTGTGACTTGTGGGATTAGCCTAGCCTGCGAGCAAGCTCTCCTATTTGGGCGAGTGAAACGAGTCTCGCGAGAACGCGCGAGTGAGCAGCGAAGCCGCGAGGGGCAGAGGAAAGGAGAGCTTGCAACGATCCCTTATAAATGTTCATTTGTACTTCGCCCAGACGAAGGGAAATACCATTGGCTGAAAAATGACGTTCCGTAAATCAAAGTTGATTGATAACAGGTCAAGCTGGCACCCGCTTCGTCTGTGTGTCAAATTTGGTTCTCAGGGGGATCAGATTGGTACTGAGAACTTGTTTCAGCCCTCAGTGCAGACGGGCTCGTTTGATATAATTTTCGCAAATAGATTATTGCGTGCCGAGGATAAGTCGGACCGAGTTTGTAGTTCTTGTGGAGGGAAAATGAAAACCCTTCATCAGTTGTATTCATTTGTGACAAGCGCCTTGTTTAGTTCTGAAAACCGGGAGAGTGAAAGTGAAGTGATTAAAGCGCTGTCTTCCAACATCGGTTTCTTCGCCCGATTGAATTCTACTGGGTAGAAAAATTCAGAAACGTGTACTTGACAGTGTAGCTGTGTAGATTGACCGTAAAGAAGGAAAAGAGAAAGAGTTGGAAGCAACTGGAGTAAACCTTAAGAGAACCAAGTGCCGGAAAACGCTATTCTCCAGTTCCAGACGGACAAATATATGATGTTTTTGTTGGTGATTGCGATGGGGAGTAGTCTTCTACACTGCAGTATGGACGACTTTTCAAAAGTAAACGAAACGAGAACCAAAGTAGCGAGTTCTTATCCGAGCGGACATGTTGAAGTTCGATGTCCCCGTGAAAAACAAAACACATCAGTGGTTAAAAACATTGCTTTGATGCTGTTGCGAAAGCAATTTATAAATAAATATCTCTACGCGCCCTCGGCTGTCTAAACTTACTTGACAGGCGGTTGTCACTTTTCTAATCTGCGGCACGTTTGCGGTGACGGTTTTCACGCTTAGCGGAGTCCCGGGGTTTCCGGGATGGAAATTAAATTTATCCTTGAATATATACTTGACCTCCACTCTTCGTTTCGCCTCCGATAAGCGCACATGGTGTCAGAAGTGGGATTCTACCGCAGGAACAAGAGGTAGGGGAAAATAAATTTGTTTCGCAACCTTGTTTCACATCGTGTGAATGACTGCCAACGCTCAAGATCCGAAGAAATAATCGAGGAATCAAGCACGCCAGTCAATTCTCCGCCCATAGCCGCAGTAGAAACTAGTTCTTCAACGTGCTCAATACCTACGGAAAACCCACAAAGTGGAAGCGTGAAAATGGCGGCAGCAAATTTTAGTATTCCTCCTCCGGCTAAGTTTGATCTAAAAGCAGGCGATTGGGACCACTGGATAAAGCGCTACGAGTTATTTGAAGCAGCTTCGGAACGTGATTGTGGTGGGCTGTCAGATAAAGTACGCATTAATCAAAGCCGCCGACATTTATGCGAGTTTCAAACTGTCAGGTGAAGATATCCAGCGCACAAATGTAAAATAGAAATTCAATAATCATTTTGAAGAAAATGTCGCTTCAGTCTTCGAGAGAACACAGTTCGGAAGACGCTTTCAGCAAGACACAGAATCTGTCCTCACCTTTATAGAAGATCTTCAGAAGAGAGCCGACCTCTGCTCTTTTGGGGACCTTCGGGGCCAAATGGTGCACACTCCAATAATAGCTGGTTTGCGTGATTCTCACCTCAGGCGACGATTTATGGAAAATAATAACTCTACGTCTGGTTTGCCGAAATCACGAAAGATTCAAATTCTAAAAAAAAACCTCAGGCGACGATTTATCTTTTTGGAAAATGTCGAGGGCGAGGGTGCCATGTCGAGGGTGCCATGTCGAGGGTAACATTTTATTTTTGCATTTTTTTTTTTTGGAAAAAGTAATAATCGATGCAATCAATGTCATTAAAACAAATAAGTAGAATTTAAAAAGCAAATGGCGCGTGAACATCTCCTAGTTGTTGGGTGGTGGTGGAAGGGGGGGGTGGAATAGAGAAAAGCTCCGGGACATCCATAAAGGAAAATTTGATGTTGTTGTTGTTGTTTAATTAAAATAGTAAGTGGACATTCGAATTCGCTTAAAAGTAAAGAACCTTCTCCCTTCCTGTGAAGGTAGACAAGTTGTGCCTAAAAAAAATGTCATAGAGCTTAGGCAGGGGCACCCAACGACTGTTTCTGTAAAATGTCTGTTCGGAGAAGCAAAAATTGCCTACAATTTTCTGTTACTTGAGGAAGGCTAAAAATTTCTAGATGGCCGTTCCATTCACGTACAGTTTTCGTAGCTTATCTAATTAATTCCCTACGGTTTTCTAAAGTTTAGTTTTTCACATTTCAGCCCCCAACTAAGCCTATTTTTCGTTGAAAAAGGAAATCTAAAATTTTCGGATTAGAAAATGCGATGGAGAGAGGAATCAGAAAAATTCTCACTTTCGTAAAACCTAAAATTCCGAACAGATACAACTTTTATAGCGCCGCTTAGAATGCATTTCTAGAGATTTGAAAGTACTCTGGATAAGGAGGGGGACATTGGGGGGTACCCAATACCGCAATACCGTAAGAAAAAATGGCAGATACCGAAATACCGCGTCGAAAATCGTCTAAATACCGATACCGCATATTTTAATCACATTTATAATCGGTTGCGCATAGTTATAGTTGCTTCCATCTAGCGCGTTTAATTATCTCAGGCATTTATGCACCAGATGTCCATGTTTTTTTTAAATATTTTGGTAGTTCGCAATTTTCCGCAAATTTTCACTGAAAAATAAACTACATTCGTTCAGCCTTTTGGTATTTCGACCCAACAGCTAATTAACTCCAATAAAAATAACTCTTGAAAGCGCGAAAAACAAACCAACCAAAACCCTTTCCACGCACGTCTAGTGCGAGTTTTGATATAAAGTGAGTCTAGTCTAGCACGTCAGTCTCTCAGGGGTCAGATCAGACGCCGCGCCATCCTCGGAGACCCAGGGGCAGATAGTGGGGACGAGGGAAAGTCTAAACGGGCGGAAAAATATATATGAAACGAAGAAAAGTAAAGAACGGCGAGAAGAGCCCCTGGGACAATGTCTTACCAGACCAGTTCCAAACGGTCGCCGCCGTTTTGGCTTCTGATTGGTGCCAGAAAAACACTGGCACCAATCAGAAGCCAGAACGGCGGCGACCGTTTGGAACTGGTCTGGTAAGACATTGTCCCAGGGGCTCTTCTCGCCGTTCTTTACTTTTCTTCGTTTCATATATATTTTTCCGCCCGTTTAGACTTTCCCTCCAGGGGCACCCAACGGATCTGTTCCTCACAATATCTGTTCTACAGAGAAAATTTTGCTGGCTGGGAACTGAGGTTTCGGCTGTTCTGCTGGGAAGTAAAGTCTTAAATCTGCGGTCAAGAATTTATCAAATGTATCAAAAATTCTTGCTGGAGATATTTTATCCCTCTAATTTGTTAGAAATTTTTCTTGGGTGTATATCCAGCTGGGTATCAGGAGTAATCGGCTCCTCTCAGGTGGCTCCTCTATGTGCGCGAATTGTGCGCGCTGATTATTTATTTACCGCTGATCAAAAAATCTGCACTGGATAACTGGCAACGGTTCACTGGCGGTTAGAACGATTCATGAGATTCATGTTTATGCAAAAGGTAAGGACCTATTAAACAGCCTGATGTATTATATTCAAGTTGGACTGACTAGGATTCACAAAAGGTACATCTAGGGAAGGCTTAGTGACGTTCCTTTTTCATTACCATTGTAGTTGTTGTTATTCTTGGTTGACAAGCGAGAGATAAGGCTGTGTGTTATTTATTTTGACCGTATATACTCGAATCAGCGCCGCAATTTCCAAGCAACCCTGCGGCGCTTATTTGAATACAGATTTTTTTCTGCTGGCTCGTAAACATGGAGAAGGCCACTCTGCTGGCTGGGAGAATAGCCATCTAACCTGCTGGGAGTGAGGAACAGATAACTTCTTTCCAGCAACACAGAAAAGCGCTTGAAAATGCCTTAAAAGCATCTAAATTTTCGTTTTCTTTAGTTAACGGCTCATTTTCAGAAAAATGTTCGTTGGGTGCCCCTGTCCTTCGCCTCCTTTATCTGCCCCTGGGTCTCCGAGGATGACGCCGCGCTGTTAAGAAGCAAACTTACCAAATTTTCGCTTTGTACTTTACAAGGCGTTTTTCAATTCTCGAAACCCATCATCTAAACTTATTCTTGTTGCGATAATGTTCGCCTCCTTCGCCCTCTTCATAAAAAATTGCCACACAGTCAATGATGACCACGCCGTCTTCAACCTCAGAGACCTCAGACATTGTGAGAAAACGTTTAAGACCTCGAATTACCGGCACAGGTACACAGATCGACAAGCCTGGTAAGGTAACTTAAGACGACTCATTATGATTGGATGCAACAACAATCACATTGTATATTATCGACCATTAACTGTCACAAAATGACCCACAAATGGTGTAATCATTTACCGTTATGTCTCAAGACTTCTAAATATTAACTTTTATTGACCTTTATGTCTTACTGTGTTTTGTTTTGCGTATTGTATCGAAAGGAAAGCGCAAATAAACGGTACCGTAATACCGTGAACAATCTTATTTCACCGAATACCGTCAGCCAAAATGATGAAAAACCGCATACCGCAGAGCTAGATGATACCGCAATACCGCACGTTAAAATTAAAATTACCGAAATACCGCGTGAAAAAAAGTCCAATACCGCAATACCGTAAACCCCCATGTCCCCCTCGATAAGCGAAAAAGTGTTTTGAATGCATTTAGGGGCGTGGTTGGGTGTCCCTGCTTCGCGGCTTATATTTCAGTCACGTCTGCCTCTTCTCTGCCTTGCTTGGCTGTTCAGTGGGGTAGTTTGAATATGGATATTTCACCGATTCTTGTTTTTTAAGCTATCCCACTGTATGCGACCGAATTGTCGTGCTTTCAACAACAATTTATTATTAGGTATTTCCATATCTATACATGGCATTACCTATCTAATGTTTATGAATAAAGTACAAATATATCATTTATAAATATATAGCAAAATAAAAGATTATATTCTTTTCTGAAATAACATATCATGTCTGTAACGCATACATTCAAAAACAAAAGCAGCAATTGATCTACAAACAGAGGGATCTATACTATTAAAGAGAAATAAAAGTTTTGAAGTCACATCTAAGTCCTTGAAAAGTGTATATCTATCAGATATTTCACTGAAGAATTTTAAACGTAAATTGTCATAAAGTTTGCAGAAGAATAGAAAATGAAGTTCATTTTCAACTTCATTTGTCTGACATAGATAACATATTCTTAAATTTTCGGGAGTTTTAGGTACTGTGTGTCTGCCTGTTTCAATATGTAATCGATGATTTCCTAGTCGAAATTTATTGAGTGCTGTTTTGTGAAGTGGGTTTTTAATCATATTTAAGAATTCTGCTTTTTTATTATCGTTCTTAAAGGTAGTATAAAAATTCAATTTTCTATTTGTTTTAAGGAGGGTAAGTTGATGCTCAGTTAGAGCATTATTGATGTTTTGCTTGATGTAAGAGGTGAAGACTTTTTCGTTGTTTTCATTCAATGAAGTAGAAACTTTCAATGAAGTAGAAACTCGCCATGAAAAATACAAGTCATCGATAATCACCGACACCGGAAATCGTGACCTACATGTGATAATTTAGATGGTTGATGCTATCGCCCGAGTCACGCCGCAATAATAAACTCCTTTAATTACCAACGTCATGTTCTGCAGCTTAAAAAATGTATCACAGCAGAAATTTGAAACACCCTGAAACACAAAAGGAACGCAAAACCAACACTTATCGGCACAGTTGATGGCGGCAGTGGGACAATAGGAAGTCATGTGGCGAAACTAATTTTGTACGCATCTTTATCCCTAGTGTGCATTTCAAACAGAAATCAGGGGTGTGTGCGCAAAAACTTTCTTCACAACGGCTTCAGCGATTATTTCCTATTTTGCACGAAAAGGGGAGCTTTTATTCACGAACAGCGATCAGATCGAAGCAAACCGATTATGCGAACTTTCAAAAAAAGAAAAAAAGAGTGTACACTATATGAATATTTAAAGACAAAAAAAATTCCGCAAAAGACAGACTTGGAATACACTGTCCAGTTTCTTGCATGATGTTAAAAGTAGTAAATTTACATCAGAAACCACAGAAAAATAGATCACAGAGAAAGCTTGAATTGAAATACCAGGGAAAACATTCTCAAAACAGAACCAAAAATCACTCCACAAACCCAATGCCATTTTTTCTTGCCCGACCGACCGAAAAATTGTACAGGAATGGCCTTCAGTGTGACATTGTAACATTTCAAACAGTTAAACAGAATTTGCAACACAGTCGATTTTTTTTCGGGAATAAAAAACTTGTATTCACTCCGTTTTTTCCTATTCATGTCCAACTTGGCAAAACAACAAACAGATCTTTAGTAGAAATGTGTCAAATGTAAAACAATTAATTGGATGAATGGGAGACATGGACCGTACGTCTGTTTTTTTTCCTATTCACGTCCACCACGTCCACGTTCACAAATAAATATGATCGATTGTGGCCTAGAAAGATATATTGCATTTTAATGGAAAGCGTCGGCAAATGCCGATGTTCACCTCACCGAAAGTCGCTACCAGGCATTATTCTATTTTAAACCTCTGCGTTAGTGGGTGGCGATTTCCATGCGAGTTCGCACATTTTAATAGCTCTGCAAAAAGATAGACTCAAACGATTGCATTGTTCGTTTATGACACATTTTATGACACATTTTACAACGCAATAAAAGTTTTTTCCTTCCATTCTTGTTGGTTGGACCAGAAATTCATAATTCAACGCACTCAAGTAACGTGTTCTGTTCGTGGTATGGGTTTCCGGGGTGTTATAAATGTAATTCTTCGACAACAAATTGGGATGTCCCGGAGCTTTTCTCTATTCCAGCCCCCCCCCCCCCCCCCCCACCCAACAACTAGAAGATGTTCACGCGCCATTTGTTTTTTAAATTCTTCTTATTTGCTTTAATGACATTGATTGCATCGATTATTACCTTTTCCAAAAAAAAAAATATGGGAAAAAAATATGTTACCCTCGACCCTCGACATGGTACCCTCGCCCTCGACATGGAACCCTCGACCCTCGACCCTCGACAAAAAGATAGACTCGCCACCGACATATCCAAAGTGCACGACAGGAAAGGTCCTGAAAACATACGTCGAAGTACAAGACCCAACGAAACTAGATGTTCTTCGAAAAAGAAGCAAAAATCGTGTTACAGACGCGGAGCTCAGCCAGGTTACCCTCCTCAGCGTTGCCGAGCCAAAGATGCGTCTTCTAGGACAGCCAGCGATTGAAAAGCTAAATTTAGTGGCTAGAATCAATGAAATCCAAAGTCCAAGTTACGAAGAAAGGATTAAAGCAACATACCCTCAACTGTTCTACGGATTGGGAGAACTTGAGGGAGAGTATGAAATCAAGTGAAACCCAGACGCTCAACCGTTTGCAATCATGACCCTAAGACTTATTCCATTACCGATGAAAAGCAAAGTAAAGGAAGAACTTGCCAGAATGGAGAAGCTGGGAGTAATCAGAAAGGTCGAAAAGCCGACAAACTGGTGCGCTGAAATGGTCACAGTATCTAAACCAAACGGGAAAATCCGAATATGTGTGGATCTTACGAAGCTAAATGAAAATGTTTGCCGTGAAACTTACCCACTTCCAAAGATTGACGCCTTGCTAGGAGAGATTGGAAAGTCCATAGTGTTCACGAAAATTGAAGCAAATTCCGGGTTTGGGCGGGAGAAGTTAGCAGAAAACTCTCAGCTCCTAACCACGTTTCTGATTGCCTTTGGCAGACATTGTTTTCACCAACTTCCCTTTGGTTTAAAATCAGCACCAAAAAGATTTCAAAAGAGAATGCTAAACGAGCTGGAAGGTTTGGAAGGGGTGATGTGCATCACGTATGACATCCTTGTGCATGGAAAGACGCAAAAAATACGATGAACGACTTGAAGCAGTTTTAACAAGATTGATCAGAGCAAGAATCACCCTGAACCAAGGCAAGTGCAAATTTTCAAGGACACAATTGCAGTTCGCGGGCAATAGTTTCAGCGCTCAAGGAATGGGCTCCGACCCTGGCAAGACTGCAGCTATCGAAAAGATGGAGAGACCGCAAATGCTGCAGAACTACGAAAATTCCTGGGAATGATCAGCCACTAACAGAAGTTCATCAAAAACCTGTCCGAGGAGACTATTCCTCTTCGCGGTCTTCTTTAGAGCAAGAACAAATGGCATTTGGGCCAAGCTCAAGAAGAATGTTTCTCTCGCCTAAAGAAAGAAATGACCCAAGCGCCAGTTCTCGCTCATTAATGCCCCGAAAAAGAAACTATTATTCTGCAGACGCCTCGTCGAACGGATTAGGAGCAGTCCTCTTAAATGTCCAAGACGATGGCACAAAGAAGCCAATTGCCTACGTTTCGCGCTCTATGACGGTATGGCCAGATAGAGAAAGAAGCACTCGCAACCACCTGGGCGTGCGAAAAGTTTTCCAACTTTGTCCTCGGTAAAGATTTCCTTATCGAAACGGACCACAAGCCGTTGGTGCTGCTACTAAGATCTAAATGTCTCCAAGACATGCCACCACGTATTTAGAGGTTCCGGATGCGACTGATGCGCTACTCCTACCAAAGAGTCAATGCACCCGGAAAAGTCTCACCACTGCTGATACCTTATCAAGAGCGCCGTTTCACCGAAATCTCACGAGAGACGAGAAGCTACTCAGTGAAGATTTAAACCTCTATGTCTCTATGCCTGCCAACTACAGAGCGCCGCTTTCAAGAAATACGCCTTCATCAGGGTGAAGATGAAGTTTGTTCAAAGTTTAAGCCGTTCTGCAGCGAAGGCTGCCCAGAGAAACATCACCTGAATTGTTCACTCCAACCTTACTGGCGGTACAGAGCAGAAACCACTGCTCAGGAGGGAATTCTAATGAAAGACGAGAGAGTCATCATTCCCTCAGCGTTAAGGCTCGATGTATTAGACAAGACACACACAGGTCATCAAGGTATCCAGAAATGCCGCGAAAGGACAAAAAGTGGTGTCTTGGTGGCCGAATCTCCGCTAGCAGATAGAAGACCTTGTCAGAGAATGCCCTACTTGCATTAAGACGAACGCTAGCCGTGCAGAGCCCATGATTCCTTCATAGTTACCCGAGCGTCCATTCCAAAAAGTAGGAACCGATCTTTTCGAATGGAAAGGAAAAAATTTCGTCCTCGTGGTAGATTACTTCTCGCGATATTGTGAAATTGGAGTACATCGAAAATCCACCTCTCAAGAAGTGATCAAGCACCTTAAGGCGATTTTCTTTCGCCATGGAATTCCAGAACCGTGATCTCCGATAACGGACCACAGCTCAGCGGAATTCGCCAAATTTTCAGAAGACTGGGGATTCACACACATTACAAGTAGTCTGCAAACAACTAAAAATCTCCTTACATATCCGACGATCTCTATGAAGCACTCCTCGCTTACAGAGCTACCCCAACTGAAAACGGATTTAGCTCAGTTGAACTATGCATGGGAAGGCACGCCACCTTTCCAACTACCCCACCGCAAGTTCCCGAGTCAACGAAATTGCGTGAAAAGGAAGCCAAGATTAAGACCGAGGAAACAAAAGACTATAACCGACGACATGCAGTGAAAGAGCTAAGTAATCTGTCACCAAGCGATCGTGGTGTTTATATCTCTGATCGTAAAGAGAACGCAGTGGTAGTAGCCAAAACAACAGAGCCAGGTTCCTATCATCTCGACATTGATAGTAATGTAACTGTTAGAAGAAACAGACGCCAGCTCAATCCAAATCCTAAAGAAGTAAATACTCAGTAGAAAGCCCTTAGCCCGAACCTCCTGAAGCTCTTAAGGATCAACCACCTGTTCTGGTAGAGAAGAAAGAAGCTTTACGATCTGGCCAAAAGTCTTCCATTCTAGGTCCCGTTCCAGGAACCATTACTCGTTCCGAAAGAAAAGTCAACCCGCCCAAGAGATTAGTTTTTGATTAGGACTGGAAGAACATTTGTTATAAGTAATTCGTTTCGTGATCGAAATATTTGATTGACTTGCCTCCTATTTAAAGAACTTTGCCTAGAGACATTTTTATAGAGGTACCAAAATGTCAAGAAAAGGGGATGTGGGATTAGCCCTTAATTCTCTTACTTAGCAACCGTGCTCGACCTATACACCCTGAAGTGTTTTGATGAGAAATCAGTTAACCTCACGCCTTGCTCATGTTATCTTCTTCAATCATTAAATTGTATATCCCTGAATATATACTTGGCCTCCACTCTTCGTTTCGCCTCCGATAATCGCAGATGAATCACGGGAAAAAAAAAAGCCCGACTTATCGCGGGGAGCTCTTAACCAACGTCTTTGTTCAATGCCGGAGCACGACAAAATATTTCGATGGCCTCCATAACACTTCTCTTGAACATGTCCTCTTCCCTTGCGAGGATCAAAGAGGAGGAGATACCCAAGGTGTGGCCTGACAACTTCAGATGATCCCCAACCGCCGATGGGAATTAGGACGGGATTAAGTAACTCTTTTTCGCTAAGGGTTTTTCTTTACTTATTGATTACGTAAAAATATTAATATCCAAAATATTTTTCCCGGTTTGTTGTATTCCAATTACGCAGCATCATCACTGAATAAACGATAGGAAGACACGTTTTATTGACGCAAAGACAAGAGCGTTCCATTTAGAAGAAATTAAAAATAAAAAAGATAGCTAATGTCTAAACTGTATCTTAGCACAACTGACAAAAGTAGTTCCACAAATACTGAAATTAATGGGCACTCAGTGCTTTAAGTCCGGTCAGTGAAAATATTCTATGAACACGGGCTTTGGATGACTGCACTGTCGTTTCCAGTTTTCTGCGGACTGAACATAAGAAGAAACCATCGACAAATTATTGGCCTCTTCCGTTTTTCTTTCTCTCTTGGAAGAATTCAGTGCGCTGACCACTAGTGTCCGCAAAGCAAATTTGTTTACCAGGTAAACCGATCGACATCGCTCTTATGTTTCATCTTCTTATGTTTACTAGGTAAACCGATCGACATCGTTTTACTTGGGCCACATAAAGATCTGTTATCCGAAGCGTTTGTACATACTAAGCATGTTAATTCAATAAAAAGTGAAAATACTTGAGATTTTCGCCGGGATAGTAATCCTTCATAAAGGAGTGTCGTTAAAGGGGTTTATACAGTAAACAAAATAAGCGAGGTCACTGAGGTGCAAGGCTAAAAAGGACGAAAATTCAGTCCAGGAAACTTTAAGACACTCGGACTTTGTTATTCGCGTTAATATACTGATTTTAGAAGACGGTTGACAGGAGAACAACTAAAAAGAATTCTCGCTATAGATCTGGACGCTAATGAACAGTGGAAAATATAGCATTCCTTATGAAAGGAACTCATAAGGTTGAATTGGCGTTCAGCCTCTAAGAGTTTCCAGCTGCACTGAACATGCTTTTACGTCCATCTGATTTATATTAAAAAGTCTTTTAGACTGAAATGAATCCGAAATCTCCAAGGTTTATCTTTGAATGGTAAATGTTCTTTCAACACAGGTTTCGACAGAAGAAAGATTATCCCCAGTCGCGCAGAACCTGGACTGTTGACAATTACAGTGAAAGCTCTCCTGACGGACCCTCTCGTAAGTGGACAGCTCTACCTACGGCCGTCTTCATTAAGCCCCGTTTTTCTCAACTCCCATACAAACTCGGTATTTCTACATTCCAGCGAAAGCGGCCAGTTCCAATTACGGACACTTTTTTCGCGTTCTGAAGGTGTCGGTTACGAGAGCTTCCATTGTAGGCTAAAACTTTGACTTGCCGCCCTTGAGAAAGAAATAGAGCTGTAGGTCTCTCACTCTCTCACAAAAGATTTTGATTTATTTTCTTTGTAGGCTGCAGAGATAAAAACAAGCATTGTGCAGACTGGGCTAAAAGCGGGGAATGTGCAAAAAATGCAGACTATATGACTGAAAACTGCGCATTAAGTTGTAACAAATGTTGAGCTCTTCACCCATAGTTTTGTAAAATGATAGAAATTCTATAAATAAATAACAATTATTCACGAAAGTGGAGGTGGCTAGTGGTGAATATTTGCAGAGGCTACGTTAGCGGCGAGGTAAATATCCACCACCACTAGCCACCTCCACTTCGGTGAATAATTGTTTCAGTATATACTAAAACAGTGAGATAATTGAGCACAAAAATAATGATTTTTAACTCATTTACTGTTGCCCGCAACGATTATAATTTTGGAGCGCAATGACCGAACCCCAGGGGCCCCACTCACATATTTTAATGACGGGGGGGAGGGGGGTCCGAAGGATTTTTTTGGGTCTGACATTTTGGCCAAAAGGGATTTTTATGGGTCTATGAAAGACGCCGGGAATTTTTTGGGTCGCGAAAACAACAGAGGGATTTTTTTGGATATTGTATTTTTCATCAGCTCAAATCAAAAATAACATAAGCGCAATTTATAGTTTTGTTTTTGACCAAAACCAAAGTTGAAGTTGGCATGTTTTAGCTTTCCAGAAGTTAAATGATAAAATTTGCTGATGCAAAAACACTGAGGGATTTTTTTGGGTATGCTAAAAAAAGTAGGGATTTTTTGGGTACACAAATTCTGAAGTTGGGATTTTTTTGGGTATAAAATATGAACCTCTGTCGGATCCCCCCGTCATTAAAATATGTGAGTGGGGCCCCTGGGGACCGAACGGCCGCGGTCGTCGCTTTTTCTTGCCGACAAATAAAACTTTTGAAGGCATTTATTTAGGTCTTGCGGGGAAATGTTCTCAAAAGGAGTTGTGCATTCTTTTTGCATTTAAAATCATTCTGTAAAAAGGATTATTAAAATTAGTTTTAAGCTTATTTAAAAAACAGAAACGAAGACTTACGCTTAATTTGCAATTGTAAACAACAAAACTTTTTCGCCGGTTTTATCGATAAATTCAAGTCAAAAAGACAAAGCCTTACCTGTTAAAACTTCCACCCCGAGCTTCGTCACCTTCTTCGTGTATCAGTTTCGGAAACAGCTTGCCTGATTAGTTGTGAAATTTCTTTGTTTGTTACGGCAGCAAACCGGGAAGGCAATTTGCTCGCAACTTAAGCGAGTTTGGCGTCGCTCGCTCGGAGGAACTGGATGTCAGTCAGTGAATAATGCAGGATACTCGCTGATTGAGTAGTCAATTAGAGAGCGCGTAAAACACTATCCACTGTTTTAGTATATACTAAAGAAATAAGTACATATAATAAGTAAATAAACAAATAAGGATTAGCTTTTATGAGAGCGTTCTATAGTGCATTTTCCAACATCAGAGCTGTTGTTAGAATAAATGAATTAAAAATAACTGATTCAGAACTGGGCAATTTTAGAGAATAATATAATAGCATGGAGTTTCGCATCAGAGGAAAAAAATAAATCCTTAAAGCTTTCCTAATGTAGGAGAGGGGCATGAATTATACGAGTTTTGATAAACACCATTTTCGAGTCAATCATTTTTGACCTCATTGATGACGTGGTCTGATACCCAAGGATCACAATGCTCCAGCTTACCTTCAAGGTTCCATTTATTTCATTGGTTTTAAATTGCATTGTAAAAAGTTCTAATTAGCATCGTTTTAGTAAATTGTAAGTTAGTATCGAAATCTGAAAAACGCATACAGGAGTAACTAATAAAGTTGTATTATATACATACTGAGAAATACTCACCAAAAAGCTATGTCGTAAATTTTCGTACACAAATTAGTTCTAGCCAATCAGAGGAGTGAACGATGGTTTTCACGCGTGAAAAAAATGATACGTCCAATCAGAATCGCGAACGATGTTTTTTCACGTGTGAGAAAAATGATACGTCCAATCAGAAGCCAAAGAGGTGTGTGAGTTTCGCGCCAAAATTCCTGCCTTTTATTGCAGCTTGCAGCGCCGCTTCGCACACATTCAACGAGAAAAGTTTTATTCAAAGAGTTCTTCTCGCTAAAAAAGTGAAAAACATTTCGGAAATGGAGTGGTATAGTTTCGTTTGTTTCAATGTCGATGAAAAAAACGTTAGAGAGCCGGCGAAACAACAACGGACAGGGAAAAACAGAACGAGACGTAAGCTTTTGTTGTGCTTTTTGTCGGAGCTACTTTGCCTTTCATTTAAGCTCAAGCTTATAATATTGAAACCGGCCATTTTACTTAAATTCACTCATTTTCAATTGTGCATTGAGAACAAACAGTTAAGATTACTTATAGTTCTTGGATTACCCCATATCCTTACCGTCCTTTATGTTTTTAACAAACGTTTTTACCAAAAAGCTGATACTTCGTGTTCGTTGTCATTTTGAGGTAAGTGTGTAGCGGCAAATTTTAGCATTTTTGAAAGATTTAAAATGAAAAGGCCGCCAAAATGATGAATGTCTCAGTATGTATATAATAAACACAATACCACATGGAAAGTGCTTTGTACGGTATTTACGCACTCGTTGTTTTTGTATCAGAAATCTTACTCGTTCGCTGCGCTCACTCGTTCGATTTCTGATACGTCAACAACTCGTGCGTAAATACCGTACGCCAGCACTTTCCATGAAGTATTCTCTATATACTGGACTATTATAGTCCAGTATACAACTTTATTAGTTACTCCTGTATGCCTTTTTCAGATTTCGATACTATATACCTTCCAACTTTTTCTGAGATGTAGGCGTGAGATTTTTATCCTGGGAGTGCTGGGATTTTTGAAAACGACACGATCATTTCCGAAGATTCCCGAAGAAGTCCGAAGACGTCCGAAGTCTGCCGAAGACGTCCGAAGTCTGCCGAAGGCGAAGTTATCGAGAAAACGCTTATCCACAAAATCAGAGATCGTGAGGAAGGTATTGTCATTTATTCATTTTACACATGGTTTTCGTTCCTTACATGGGTCTGAGTTAACATATTTTTGGAAATTGTGTCAAGCAAGACGGCAACAACTCACATTTTTCAATCAGGCGTGAGAAATTGGTCCGCAGGCGTGAGCGGGCGTGAGATCGAAGTTTTCAACCCGCAGGCGTGAGAGTTGGCAGGTATAATACTAACTTACAATATACTAAAACGATACTAATTAGAACTTTTTACAATGCAATTTAAAACCAATGAAATGGTATAGTGTTGTATAAATAAAATTTGCCGAG